CATAATGAGATAGATTCGAAGTAAAAATCTGACATGACAACAATGATAGACATGTACCGAACCCGGATACAAACCGGATAGTTCGGGTCCGTAATACCCGGATTCGGTAATGGGATTCGCGGGTCTACTTATTCGTAGCTTTCGAAGCATATAAATGAATAATAAATAGCACCTATGGATATATAATAGGTGGTAAAAGATGAGCTCATGTCAAAGATCATTTACCTTGCTCAGTCTATCATACTTAATCTCATTTACCAGGAACGGATAAAGTTAAATGAGCTTCTCTTAGTATTTACCTTGGACTCAACTACAAGAAATCGTCGAATGGTTCTCCTTATTAAATTTTCTGAAAATACAGATGTACGATTTTTTCCATTGGTCTACTCACAATATCAATACTAATAATGCTAATATCAATATCACCAATACTAAACTGTATTAGTATTGGTATTGGTAGTATTCGAATTCTCACATCCCTACTAAGACTATCAGAAGGATCATTTCAATAAGGAGAACCATTCGACGATTTCCTATAGCTGAGCCCAAGAGAAATATTAATAAAAGCTCATTTAATTGTTTGCTTTCCTGATAAATATGACTATATATGATAGAGCTGGGCATCACCATGGCTACGAGTACATTTTGGATCCTTGACGTGTCGACGTAGTTTTCGAATTACATCGTAGTTCAAAATTCACGTAGACACGTTAAGGGTCCGAAATGTACTCGTAGCCATGGTGATGCCCAGCTCTGATATATGATAGATTGAGAAAGAGACGATAAATCTTTGAAATAAAATCATTTTTTATTATCTATCTATAGGTAATATTTGTTATTCATTTCTATACTTCGAAGGGTACGTATAAGTAGACACAAAAATCTCGTTATCCAATCTGGGTATAGCCGAATCAGGGTACGACTGACTCCTGGTAGTATCGAACCCGGGTAGTTCTGGCTCAATGAATGCCTAATTCTAATCTTCGTTTGAACAATGCAACTTGCCTCTCTACTTATAATCCAAGTGGAGAAGTATCTTATAAGTGCGATTGTTCGCCAATATTCTACGGAAATCGATGTCAAAAAGAGAAGGCATCTGTGCACGTTGGCTTGAACATGACAAACATGTCGCCTGCTCTTGCAACGGTTGTTCAACTTTACGACATTACGATTCCTTGTTTTACGTTTCTAACCCAACATCAGCACATCTGTCGTGGCTTCCCATCAAAATTAACTATTACCATGCCGATGCTTACGCACTCTATATTGGACTCCTCAAAATCTATAAAGATTTAACATATTCAGAATACTTTATCATGTATGCTTTGAAAGAGCTGCCGATCAATATCACCTCCTCATCACAGCACTGCCCACTTGGGTTGTCATTTTTATTCGAAGGTGAATTTTTAGATAAAAAAAACCATACTAACTTGAAATGCAGTTTCACTTTCAGGTACCAACCGATCTGTTCCCGCTGTGTTTAAGTATCATAAAATCTGTGGAAATGACATTCAGCGTTTCTGTTTCATGATGAAAACTACTTAGGACAATCAAAAAGTGGTGAGGGTGGTACCTTATTTTCTCAAGCAGAGATCGAGAAAAGTTTCGTTTTTAGCAACATATAGAGTGTGTCTCGCTCTATTCTTCTATGCTATTTGATCACTATTCAACTAATATCATAATACTAAAATCTCGATAAGATCTGTTTCTTTCGCATATGTATTAGTAGCATGAACATGAATGCTCGTGAGTATTTTTCGAATAACGATTAATAACAGCAAGTTACAGAACTACGGTTTTCACTATTTGAAAGAGGAGATAAAGGCGCATCGCGTCATATACTACTGATGTTTCTAACTTGTTTTTGTAAGGTTTTTAGTTGAAGTTTTAAAGAACAACCCTATCTCGTGAGTTGTTTACAGTGAATTTTCAATAATCAGGTTCACATTCAAACCACTAATCGAAGATCTACAAACTGCGGAAGACTCAGGTGTTACATTTAATTATTTGTGGATAATACATATTCTAGAAGAACCTCTACTACAATTTTCTACAAGGGGGAACAAGCGGACTTCTGGACTTCTTATACTTCTTCGTACTTTTCAGTACTTCTTGGTACTTCCAAAATGTATTGAATTAATTTTTTCAATTTTACTTTATAGTAGTACTATTGCTATATAGTGTACTGCGCGATCGTACCCCTGAGTAAGATATGTCTTTTGCTCATGATCGTGTTCGTAGTCATGATTGAGAAAAAAAATTCGTGGTCGTTACGGTGAACGACATTAAGATTCCGTGATCACGAATTTGACACATAGTTTCAAAATCTCAAATATTTATTAAAAATTATTATGTTTTCAAAGAATTTCTACTAGAATAAAAATGAAAGCAATTGTTATATTGATTCATGGACAAAAAAATTAAAAAATTATAATGCATTTTTACAGCAGCTTTTTTTGAAAACTTAGAAAAAAATTATTTAAATGTGTTTTTCGTCATGATACGACGTTTCCATTAATTTTATTATCATTATCAAGTATAACAAGCGTAAGAGAGAAAATCGTTGAGAGAAATAGTAATGGCAAAAGTAAAAAGAAAAAACGAAACTATTACTTTGCCAATAAGATAAACGATGGCATATTATAGTGGTAATATAGAACGATGGAACATATGAGGTTATAATAATAGTATGAATTTGTACAATAGTTAAACTTAGAAAATAGCGACATTAAGATAGTATAGATTAAGGGTGTGGGTATGAGTTTCAGTAATAGCAATATCAACACCCTCGCCACCCAGACAAAAATAATCTGCTGAAACATGGTATATTTTGTTCGAAATCAGTCAATAACTTTTGATGTAGTGGCAAAAGAAAAGAGAAAGATTCACTTTTCTAATTGTCTGCATGATGGGCAGCAAACAAATACAATGATCATTATGGTAACATTGTGAATATTTTTCTCTTCGTTTTTCGTACAGACAATATAAACAACTCAATATTAAAGTCAAGTTGTTTTCTCCATATTAAATAGAACCAAAGACAGAACGATCAATTTTGTGTAGTAATAACTATGATGCAAGAAAAACAATCAAACTATCACTTTATAATTTAAAAATCAATTCATATTCATAATTGGAACTATAAAACTTTTCGCTATATTTTGTTATGGGTAACTTTTAGCGTAATAGAAATATGAGCTTTTTTATACAGCAACTCACTGCTTTTTATTTATTCATTTATTTAATTAATATATAATGTTGGCGCGTTGATTTTTTGCCGATCATTTCCGAGACCAGAGATGGAATAAGAGTTAAGAGAGAGAAAATTGAGAATTTTGTACAAAAACTTTTAAATAGGGTGTGGGTGTGGGCATGGATATCTATCTTCTCTAGAGATATACTCACATATATAGTTATCAATGTCGTGAAAGCTCTATCGGCAATGCAGGATATTTTTTCTAAGTCGCACATCTCGTCACTGAATGCTCCTTGAACAAGTATTCAGCATCAAAAGCCAATAACTGAACAGCTATAACAATTAAGTCTTCTGGCTCACCGAAGTCTAATTAGCACAGTTAATTACCGTACTAATCTTGTGTACGAGTGTAGACGTGGTTGAGTGTGCATGTAAAGAAGATCTACACCCGAACCAGAGACGTGCACAGGACAAGACTTTTTGTCCTGTCCTCACCTGTCCTGCTAGCTACTTTGGTCCTGGCGGGCGGCAGGACAGGACACCAGGACAGCAGGACCGCCCTGTCCTGTGCACGTCTCTGACCCGAACTCACATTCATTCACACCCCACCCCACGTACACCGACACCCACATCTTCGTAGGTTATATCTTATTATGTCAGTAATAAATTCATCATTTTTTCAATTTTCTGACTTTTTGATTGTTACATGCTTCTATGCTTTTTCATGCATTGTTAGCGTCGAAAATCAATTAGCTTCAATGCTTGACGCACATGCCTGTTTCTTCCTAGTAGTTGTTTTTATTTCTTCCTTATGTACACAACTATTGATCTTGTCAAGTGCACGTTGATTCGCGGTTGCTATAAGTAACAGAAAGCATCGTGCACACCATAAAAAAATTACTAATACATCTATGAATCATATTGGCATTTTGTTTCCAACAAAGCATTTAAAGTTGATGCTGAATCGAAATAAGTTGTTCCCAATGCCACGACGCATTTGTGCATTTGATCTATTACCTATCGAACTTGTCCATGTTATTTTCAACTATTTATTGGCTCAAGAAATTCTTCATTCGTTTACAAACGTCAGTGACTATGTCGACAGTATCTTATTCTCGTATTCGTCTCATCGTCTCAACTTCAGTTCTATTTCCAAGTCAACATTTGATCTCGTTTGCCGCTATATTCGACCTTCACAGGTAATCTCGCTCACACTCTCCGATGCCAATGATACATCGGGTCAATCGGATTTGTTTCTAACACATTTTCGAATTGAACAATTCATTCAACTCCGATCACTTCGATTAATCGAGATAGAACTCGATTCATTGGAATCGATTTTCTCTAATTTGACCCACCTCACACTACTCCGTTCACTCACATATGAAACCAACGGCATTAAAACAAAATGTCCCAATTGGATCTATGGCTATTCCGGTATGATCATAAATGTGAAATCGTGCTTTGAAGAGACTGCAATGCGAGTTTTACCTCGATTAAATCGATTAAATGTATAGAATTTAGAAATCGATGTAGCAAAAAAGCTTCCACGTCTTCGTCATCTGACATTGGGAAAATCGAATTTCGGTGAAATCAATAGGATTTTGTCTCAAGTACCTCAGTTAAGATCACTTAACGTTTCACTTCAAGGTGATGCATCACATATTCATCATTTATCTTTCTGTTCTCAATTGAATCGGCTCACTCTGAAGATTGACGGTAATAACCATAGAGAATTTGCACTAAATACTACGGGAACGATTATTTTTGTGTCTGTTTGTAATTTACAGATTCTTTAATATCAATGACTCAAATGGAGCGACTTTTACCAAACTTAACCCAGCTGATAAATTTTGAATTGCACGCGAAAGGTCGACGTGATCTGGCCGATGGTCACCGATGGAAAGTGCTGACTGAAGGTCTGGTTACGTTCAATTTCAAATTTCAAATTTATTCTTCGCCAGATGATCTAACTCTCTCTTCGTTTCGTAATGAATTTTGGGTTCGTGAAAAACGCTGGTATGTTGCTTACAAAGAGGAATACCTTTTTTCCATACCATACTTTGCTCCGGTGGAAGTTCATTGTTCTTCTGTGTCGTTGCTTTCCGTTTGGAAAACGGCTAATGATACCAGCTTCTATGAAAACGTTACCAAGCTCAATTTATCACCGTGCCCGAGTGAAGATAATATTCGTATCATCTCTACAATGATGGATTTCGGCTGTATACAGCAGTTGACTATATCGAAATTAAATCATATACTATTTCTAAATTTCTATCTACTCAGTATGCATTGTCTTCACACCCTCTGCATTAACGGAAGTCTCTCGCTAGATTACATTGAGCAAATACGCCACTTTAGATTTGAACAGATTCGAACACTTAAGATTTCCAGTAATTCAAAAATCACAGATTACTTCATTGAAGAATTATTACGTATTTTCCCGTGTGTAAAACACTTATACGTGTCATGTCTTCAATCTAGAGCACAGATGATTCGTTTGATCGATGGATTTCAACATTTATTAAGTGCATCATTCACTATTACATCGTGGCACCAAGAAAATGAACGACATTGTTATTTTGAACGCGAGTTGTTGATTCGTGACTCACGACGATTGACTAGAGGCACATATCGATGTCGTTTTTATCGTTCGACGCATGGAAGTCAATCGTATGACATACATATCTGGATTGAAGAAAAGGTGAGTTCATCATCTTTCTTTGTGCTTGTACTAAACGCCTTTCATTTAAAATTGAATTTTAGCAGCGACAATTGTGTTGGATAACTCATTGTCCTCCCCGACGAGGATACTATTGGTATCGATTAATGCATATTATGTTCTTCAAGCAATCAATAGGTTTTTGCGATTCTCTCATAATCGGATCCGTTGTCAGTGGTATTTCATCGGTCCTAGCTTTAATAATTCTACAAATAACGGCTATTTTTTTCAGCATGCAAATTGCTCACCTTATTTTATACATACTTTTCTTCGGAATATTCTATCTCATTTTATACATGATACAGGACATCGCCCTTTATCACTTTCCGTCAAAAGCAAAAAAATCGATCAGAATCATATTTTCTTTCCTAATTACTTTGTTTCTTGCTTCAATTATTAACCTTCGGTTTCGCAGAACCTCCTATGGAAGTCCGGCAACATGAATCATTTTAAAAATTAATTGTCTTTTTTTTATAAACTTGTATTTATTTATATTCTGATCTATAACCATAATTTTAGGGTGTGGGTGTGATTTAGGATAAGGCCTACATCCGTACCGTTTGAATTTTTCAAAGATGCCTTCTCGTCTTTTATATTCACTATTGATCAGTAACCTTAGATTTAGTTAATATTCAGACCAGGCATGACTTGCCCTGTTGCTGGATCGCAGTAGCCTTGAATATGTCATGTGTGATTGACTGCATGTTGTCCGATACATTTACCTCGAACAGTAATTGAGTATTCAGTGTACGGCTTCTCGCCATTCATAGTGAGTTGAGGCTTATCGACGTTTGGATCAACAATCAAGTATATAGTAGTCACTCTGATGCCGGATCCGTCAATTTGTGATGGATCCGACTGATGATTCTGGTACATAATACTCCACGTAAGATTGCTCTATTCATCTTAGATAAGTCAAAAAAAACAAATGAATTCAGATGGCAAAGAAGAATCCTCACCTCTGAGGCAACACCATTGAATTGACCAAACCACAGTTGAGAAGATAGACTACCGGCGTTGAACTCTTGCATAGATCCACCCATTTGCTGCTGGCACACAGCAACATCGTCACTGTCACACCTACGCATTGATCTGACACAACTCCACCAATAGATGTACACTCGACCATCAAATCCTGTTCCGACAATGCCTGTAGGCCATTGTGGTACGAGATTCGTAATATCGTACACAGACGCATTGCCATATGCTCGACATGAATTGTTTCGATCAACCAATAATAAACTTGCAGAAGTAAAACTGTCCAGGAGTAAACCGAAAAGAAATAAGGACAGCATAACTGAAGTGTTCGACATAGCCAATTTATCTATAAACACGTATACCGAAAGAGACGACAAGAACTTACGGATTGGTTCATCTCATTTGTTGCCTCATAATCTTTACTGTCTTCTACATTTATACACAGCGGAAACTTTCAAATTTTTTCATAGCTGCTCAGTTCTTTTGAGTGATTTGAGGCGTGACAGCGGCGGATAAGGAAAATTCAAATAATGCAAACTCATATCTGTATCTATTTACACTGCTTCAATTTACTTGAATGGACTTTATGACAGTTGCCCTTCACCCAGGTCGATCAAAACGGACCACCGTAAACCGGCGTAACATTACCGTAAACGGTCGTTTTTGCATCGTATTCCGCCGTAAAACGGCCGTTTTAAGCCGTATTAAGGCGCTTTAACAGGGGCAGTATTACGGCCATACACGGACACCGTATATCAGCCGTAAAACCTCGTAAAGCCGGCGTAATATGATCGTATTCTATAGAACATACGGCCGTATTACTGCCCCTGTTATACGGGGAAAATACGGCACGTAAAACTGGCAGTATTTGTATCGTATACGACCGTTTACTGATCGTTTTATTCGACCGGGGCAGCATTACGAAGCATAACTCATAGAAATAAGAAGATACGAGTATCTGTTCGTTATCTATAGATTTTTTCTTTCATGTAGATAAACGTTGCTCTGTTAAAGCAGGAGAATACATTGAAATCATGTTTTATTATTCTTTTTTTTATGTGCCTTCCACGTAGTATAAATGATAAAATAAAAAGGTTTCTATGCCTTCTTTCTACTATATTCCATGCTGTATTGTCTTAAACATATCTATTTGAAATTGATCGCACATTCCAAGTTCTGATGTATATATATGAAATAGAATTCTATCGAATTGAGACATTTGTCAGCCAAACTTGGCAAATATGGTCTTTGAGTTGATTCAGTGTAGAATTAATTCTTCACAAAAATATCTGGAATTTCTTAATCCTTATTGTGTATATCAAATAAATTTCTACGTAGTTAAATTCTACATGCAATGAGATGAGAATGAAAAAGAGAGTGTAAATATAACTTCATCACCCACACCCACACCCTTGAACATCCAGGTGCTGTGTGTGTTGGTAGTGTCTAAACTTATGATCTATAGCTTATATGTGTTATAAAAATCGTCTTTCTTTTAAAAGTGTCCATAAATATTTTGTTTCAGATTTGAATTGTCAGCTCTATCCTACACTCTTACTACCACACATACAATGACATCTTCATCAGCTCCACAATCGCAAGCCAAATTTACCGTAGTCGAATTCGAATACTCTGCTGAGTACCCTGTTAAAGTCGAGCAATATCTGGCACCCCATATTGTTCATATCCACGCGCATACTGCAACGAATGGTGGCAAAATCGTGTTGATTGGACCCTTTTTAAACAATCAACGTGAAGAGAATGCGACTACTGCTACGGGAGGATTATCGATTTGGCGTGATGCAACTGACGAAGAAATCACGAAATATATTGAAACGGATCCATTTGTTGTACATGGATTGGTGGAGAAATGGACTGTTCGACCATTGTTGCCGATGGGTGGACATCAAGCATTCGAAAATGATTTTTATCGCATGCCAAATTAGACTGACTTTTATTTTTATCACTATGTACTTTTCATTTTGGATAAAATTGATGAAGTCATCACCGGATAACAGAGTATCGAGTTATGAGCTTTTCTAAGAAGCCTGTTTTTAATTATGTTAAATTTTTATCAAAAATCAAATTAACTAACATGTCGATAGAATTCTGTTTTCATTAAAATAGATTACTTGAATCAAATAGGGGGGTGCGAGTCTCATGAAAAGTTGTTGTTTATCGGTGCAGATGTTTTAGAGAAGAGTTTCAGTTTCTATACAGTCGTCTAGATCTGACCTATTTGTTTGTGAAAAGCACATTAGGTAGATAAATATTTGTTCTCTTGTCTGAAATGTTTTCCCACACTTTCGTTTATTGTGTGGTATATGTGTGTGCTCGTTAGCTGTATATCACTTGACTGCTGTCATCGATACAATTTTCTTTTCCTTTCTCGTTTCGTACTATTTTTTTCCACTACAACGTCGAAAAGGCAAGAGAATCTGACAAAGATAAATTCATTACTATTCCATCTATTTCAACATTTCAAGTTATTCCTTTGCTATAAAGACAAGAACATCGAGTATTCTCAGAAGTAGCCCAGGTATGACTCTTAGAATACTCAAGTAGAATCATTGATCAACTTCGCCATTTATCTTAGCGGAAAGTATTCTGTAGATAATCGGTTTCTTGTTTAATAGAGAATTTCTCATCTTCTTCATTACCTAACATAAGCAAAAGTAATTCAATACGAGAACTTCATACTTAAAATTACTATCATCGTTTTTCTTTCTATTACGAACAGTAAACTACGTATGTTTGTTTATCATTTACCATTCATTTTACTCAGCGCAAATTTCTAGTTGAATAACAAAAAATATTGTTGATCTTGATACGGTGTCAACAAACTGTCGAGCTTTTAATATACGTTGTCTCTATAACATATGAAGCGATAGCACGACCTTGTCATCGCGCGCTGAAGTTGGCTCAGTTGAATTGTTACGATCTAAACTATATTTTTTCATAATGGTTATAGAGACTGTGTTTTTACTTAAAACACTCGATTATCAATTTTTTTTAAAGTGAAATAAAATATCTAAAATCTATTGGGTAATCAGAAAGTTAGGTCATTGTTAAAGCTATAGAAAAGCGACCCAACCATCAAAAATGACTTATTTGCTTATATTTCAGAAAAACAACATATCACGTTTCGTAGCAATCAATATTCGAGATGACTTCGACGCATGAATTGACCAAGGCTCAAATTGACAATCTCAAAGCGGCAACAGGTAACAGCGAGGAAGCTGTTCTTCGAGCTTTTGGTGAGTCGGACAGATGATAAAAAGATCAATAGAGTGAATAGGTATTCTAAATCTTTATGCTAAATTTTTTGTAGCGGCAATGAAAAATAAATATCCAAGTGGTGGAATGGCAGAGGATCAGTTTCTTGAAATGATTAGAGATCCTTCATCAGGTGTCAAATCTACAGAAATCGATATGGCTAAACTCATGTTTACTATTGCTGATCGTGATAAATCAGGTAAATAGTTCCTTTGTCACCCCCATCCTTTTTCTACAGCGATGAAATCTTTTTTTTTTATTGAAGGCAAGGTTGACTTATATGAATATTTGTTGACCATTGCATTACTGTGCTCAGATGATCCGAAACCAGTGCTTCAAACACTCTTCATCGCTTGTGATGCAAATAGCAATAATTTTCTTACTCGAGACGAAGCTCGGGATATTTTCTCAGCATTTTTTCGACTCATGGGGGCTCCCTCTGATAGCGTTAATCAAGAAGATCCATCATATAGCCAAGAGAAGCTCAATAGTATTATAGAACAGATTTTTGGTGACAATACAGAAATAACAGAAGCAGAATTTCGACAAGCCTGTATTGAAAACAAAGACGTCGAGTCGATCACCGGAGAACTTCACCTTATCTTACTTGTATCTCTGACAAGCAACGCTAAACGATTCGAAGAACGGCGTTTTTCACTTATTCCTCGCCCCTAATCTGTCACTTTTCTCGTTCAATATCAATAGCTTGCTATACACGCTGATATTTTTACTATGTAGTTTAAGCCAGTTAATAATCAACAATTTCAAAACTTTCTCCTTTTTATTTTGCATCGCCCATAACCTTTCAATCATGATTAATTATGCCATTTAATAAATATAAATCGAATAATTAAAAACAAATAAAAAACGGTCATGATCATGACTAATGGGGGGTTTTCAAAAGTATATTCGATAACCCATCAGTCTTCGGACCGCATTTTCTTATCCTTCGGACTTCTTATTTGAAGTGAATTTCATTTGAAGTTATGCAATAATACTAGATGAAAAACAACTATCGTGAGTCACAGTGTGGTAGTGCTTTTTTATTCTTCTAAGAAAAAATATACAGAAAGATGTTAAATCTTTTATGCATACAAAAAAAAACACGTTAAGATTTAGTCCTGTTGCATTGCATTAGAATTTTGTATGGATATTGAACATTGATGAAATTCCAGTTCATTAACAATCATTTGATAAAATTTTAATTGGCTCGTTGATTCATTGTTTGATGCATCTTTTTTCATTGCAGTTGTAATCATTGATGGCCGAGTAGAATCAATTGCTGTGAGTGTATTTTCATCTGGAAAACGACTGTTTATTGTTCCCATTGTTTTTTTACTTTTTTCAAATTCATCAATATTAGCACGTAATAATACACATTGAGATTTAACTCGCATGGGTAATGAATCGTCATTGCCATGAGAGATGAAGCTCGTAAAAACTCGCTGAAAAGAAAAAACATAATTTTACAATCGAATTTCTTCGTACGATAATATCGAAAAAAATTCGGCTAACCATCAAATGAGCTTTAAGTAGATAACTACATTGTTGTTCATTTCCATATCGAACAATTAATTGAATAATAAGATCTGTAATGTTTGCGCTCCGTGATTGTCGTTGTCTTAATGAATCTACAATAGTTAAACAGCCAATATGAAAAGCTGCAGAAGTCGGATTTGCTTCAATTGAATTCGTTAACATAAAATCTAATAATCTTCCAAGATCATTATCATCAAGAACATTTGAATGTACAGCAAAAAGATTTAATAGTTCTAATCGAACATCCATCGCTGTTTGTTCATCAAGTATAACGAATAATTGCGTCAACTGGCCAAGCAAAGATTTTAAATTTTCATTTTGATTATTAACAATTAAATATGATAAAAGACGTAAAGTAAGAATAAAATTCATACATGTTAATTCAGTTATAATTGGTAAGGAAAGAAATTGTTGTATAGAATAAATACATGTATCAATCGTATGTTGAATTTGTTTTGCATTTAATTCTGTATTAAATAAACGTATAAATCCATAGAGATGTTCGATATTCGTTGGATATAACAATGAAAGATTGGTTGAATTAATGATTGATTCTTTTAATGAACTATTATTATTATTCAACATTTGAAATAAATCATAAATATGATAGAATGAATTCGATGAAAGAAATGCATCATAGGCATAGAATTTCACGGAGCGCATATTTGGCATTGCTAATAGATAATTAATTAAATTCGTGTGAATATCAAGTCGAAGAAGTTCAGCAAGAAATAAACCGAATAGATATTGATATTCAACGGATTGGTTATATAAAAACCATGATTGAATAATTAATTCACTTGCTAACTGAATGGAAGTTGACATAATCGAAAAATTCTCATTCGACGATTGGATGAGCTTCGTCATTGACGATAGAACTGTTTGCATAGATTTCTGATTGAAAAGTTTCATTAAGATTGAATAGGTTATGTCGTATAGGCTGCCATATTCAACTTGAGTTTTACTAAATGATACTGGAAGAAGAGCCGGTAGGACAAGTTGAATTCGGCATTCGTCAATAAGATCGAATAGATGAGATATTAAACGATGAATAATACAGATCGAAATATCCGTTGATGGTTTAGTTAAACTCATGTCAAATGCTTCAATAATACGAAAAAGTAAAATTAGCGATGCATATTTACATTTGTTCGATGATAATTCAAGAAATAGCTCATCGAAAAATAATTTCGATGAATTCTTTAGTGAATATTGAATAAAACTTCGAAGAATTTCTTGTAGAAGTATTGTGTTATTAAAAAATTCGAGTTGAAAACGATTCTGTTGACATGTAGATTCAAGACATTGATGTATTTGATGGACAGTACGAATAAAATCTTGGTAGGTTTCAAATTGAGATATTGTGCTATTGTATTGAACTAATTTAGATAACATTTGAAAATAAATTCCATACATCTACGGAAATAAAATATAGGAATGTAAATCGATGAAAAATCAATACCTTAATAGTGGGCGATTCTCGATTGTTATCTGATTTTTCTTTTAAATTTCTCGCGCAAAGTGTAGCCATCTGTTGTAACACACTACCATAGACAGCAACGATTAAACCATCATTAATATCGTCGAGTTTACTGAATGATGATTGTGATTGTTGTTGTTGATCGTCACTACCGGTCAATAATTTTACAATAAGTTTATGACAAATCAATGTTGTAAGAAGATCTATGTTAGCGATTGAATCTGAGACACGACGCAATTGTTCACAAAAATGTCGTTGTTGTGTTGATTTGATTAGAATAGTGTTGAGTTTAGGTGATTTAACAAATTCTTTTATTTGATTGTGTAATGCTTTAGTTGTTGTAATTAACGAAGTCAATTTGTCGCGTGACAGAAATGGTCCCGATATAATTATATCGGATTTTTCAGCACAAATTTTTGATAATGATATTATGGTTTGAAGAAGCGCTGGAAGAGTAATCGCTACTAATGTTGGATCTGCTGAAGAAATTAGATTAGTCAAGTGTTTTGAACAATCGTTAAGAAGAGATTCGAGATTGTTCAATGTTTGATCATCATGTACACGTGTTGTATACAGATTTTGAAGACGTTGTTCAAGGTCATTGACTATAAAAGACGCTGCTCTAGGACTAGATTCCATCTAAAATATCAAATACATCGTAAACAAAGTTCATTTACATATCGTTATATTCTTTTATTTACCACGTGCGTCTACTATGAAGAAAGAAAAATGATGTTTTGAATAGTAAAATAAATCGATAGTCAATATTTGTTTTCCTTTGACTTAAGTGATTGGTATGTAATTTAAAAATAAAAAGAAACGGTCATGTTATGACTAATGGGGGAGTTTCAAGAGGGAATTTTGATAACCCATCAGTCTTCGGACCGCATTTTCTTACCTTTCATTCTTTATATTTGAAGTGAATTTCGTTTGAAATGGCGCAATAACATAAGAACGAAAGAATTTTTATCAGTAGATGTTTATTTTCATAGTGTGTGAAGAACTGTTTGTAAATTATTGAAAAATGATCTTATTATTTGTCTTGCAGATTTATTATTAATTCTTCTCAATCAACAAAAAAGAAGACAGTCATCTCTTGAGTTTTTCATCAGAAACACTGCGACAAAAATCTGTATAGAAAAAAAAACGAATCGTCGTTATTGAGAATATATATATAGATAGTACCACAAATAGATACATATAAATTATCATCATCATCGAAATGAAAAAGAAAATGTCAAACTAGAAGCACGCTTACGCACAACAAAGAGAGAAAAAAAATAAAAGTTAATTAAAAGCACTATTATTGTCGTGAAGAAGATGCACTTGTTGATTGACGATGCATATTTTGTACCATCAAACTTATATAAGATGTCAGTAGATCATCCATTTTATAACCCTGAACAAGTATAAACACATTGTATTGTTTAAATTACAAAAACATTCAACTTACTAATGGGGATTCGCATAATAAACGAGTACCTCGAACAATGTCACCCACCGTCTGAAACAAAAAATGCGAAATAATATTTTTCTTTTTCAATGAAAGATTTTACCATATTAAAATAAGTATTTCCACTAGACCAATTTGAGATGCTGGTAAATTGATACGTAATTAGTAGGTCTTTGGATTTAGGATGAATTAAATTTACACCGTTTTTATTAATTGCTATTAATAATTGTTCAGGATAAGTTGGATCAGATGTTTGCTAAAATGATAAACTATGCATATCGGAAAAAAACAATATTATTGAAATTCATACCTTCACTTCAAAAAATGCAGAACCGAATGTCGGCCATTGATAGAGAATTTTAAGAAATTTTGTTTTCGCATCTTCAGATGTCAAACTATGTGATTCGGCATGAGAACTCATGATACGCTAAAAATTTCAAATGAAATTAAAAACACACAATTGAATTATTCATCGTTACCTTTCGCCAGTCAGCATAAGGAAGTTTGTCAACAAGATCAGACGGAAGAAAGTCTTTTAATCTAAAATGAAGATTTTGTATTATTTTTCCCTCGAGAATTTCCGATGAGCTATTCTCAGTGTTGAAATCTGCCAATAACGTCTACTTACTGAATATTTTCGAATAGAGCTGCATTCTCACCGAACCGAACACGATATATACAAGCGGCCAGTTGAACAGCATCATCAATGGAACATTTATGATAACCACGAATTAATTTGGGCAATTCCTATTAAGAAAAACGTGAATAAATGTTCTTAGGAAATTTTCAACTTTCATACTTGATGATAATGAAAGATAATATCAGCCATTCGATCTTTTCCGGGTATAGCATTAGTCCATAGTTTTCTCATAAAAAATATTTGATAGGTATATTTTGGTGGATCTTCACGTTGTTTCGTTTTTTTAATCCATTCCTATAGAACAAGAAATCGAATTGATTAGAAAAAAAATCTTCAAATTGACTTACAGTTAAATGTCGAACAAAATCAAAGAAGAAGTCTCCTTCGGGTACACTAATAACTTTATCAAGAATTTTAACAAATAAACTGAATCCTTCGCTTGATTGCAATTTGAGTCGATCAGCAACATTTTTACAGAAGTCTTTTGCACGCGTCGATGAATCAACTTCGAATGCTTCGGATGTGTCGTCAGGAAAATAAACTTTATGATAAATTTGTGTTGTCATATGCTGAATGGCTTCAACTTCAACTTGATGTGGTGGATGTTTTCGTTGACCATTTCTACATTGAATAAAAATAGCAAAGATAAAGAGGAAAGCAAAGTCAATTTACTTCAGCGTTCGTTGTAATCGAGCAAAACAGTCGGCAGCTAATTGATGTTTTCTTGAACGTAGAAATAGATTAACTTCGCGAAGTAGAACAGCACTTGGCGCAAAACATCCACTTGCTAGCCACATCAATTCCCAACCACGAGATTCACTTGCTTGATGTCCATTGTCGGTTAATTGTTTAATGATTTGACAATAGACTTCATCTTTCAAAATTTCCTATGAATTTAAAAACAAAATCCTTAATTCAGTTATTGATCGTTGACATAACAAAATATACTTACATGTTTAAGTGCCGGGTCGAAGATTGCATCGGTTAGCTCATTAGTTGCTCGACGCCGTATATTGCTTTGATAATCGCCCATATATTTAAGAACGTTCATAAAGCAAGCGCAAGCTTCTTCACTGAGTTCTAATTTTTCTTGTAATTTTTTCAGCAATGGTTGTCTCAAGGGTTCTTTTTGAAATGCCCATAGACGATCTCCGCCAGTGTTCAAGCCACCACGTCGTGCAAATGTATTCGACCATGAACGTTTAGGTGGTACACGAAAATTTGTTTCAGCATATTTTTCTAATGTATGACCTTGTTCAGGTAAAAATTCTCCATTGTTATTTCCGCTGACCGAGAAGCCCGAAAATAAATGTTCATTTTGCAGTTTCTGTTGATTATCATCGGACCATTGTAATGTAAATATTTGTAGAATTTCTTGTGGTGGTTTCGATAGTGTTGGCAGAACATAAACGCATTCACTCGGAAATTCACCTGTTGCGCCTGTACGTTCGTTATAACCAAATAAGTAACCTGAGACATTGGCACGTGTTTGTTCTTCTAATATAATAACATCGCCACGACGTATAGCTAAACCTTGTCCTTGCGGTTCGTAATCTTGTATAACAACAACATATTTCGATTTTCGTTTAAGACCTTCTAAGAAATTAATAATTAAATCGCGTATATCATCCGCATTATTCGATGTAAATGTATATTCTTCATTTTTAATTGTTACTATTGTGAAACTATTGTTCTGTTGTCTCGATGTCGATTTACTACTGAGTATTTGAGTTATTTCAGGAAATGATAATTCAAGTAAAACTTGTTCTTGATCATCAATAACATAAACACCCGTCCAATTAACAGCAATAATAACTTCATTTTTCGGTAGTGTTGGCCCGGAAAATTTATAGGCTTCATAAAAACGTGAAAATAATAATGGCCATTTAAATCGTGCATAATTAACCACATCTTCTTTAACACGTAGAACAGATACGGAATCTTTTGGATTAGTAAAATATCGTTTATGAGCGTGAATTATTATTTGTAACCAACGTTCTGTGGCTTTATTTTGAACAAGTTGACTATCGGGAATGTAATGAGGAAGTAATTCACGTAAACGGTCGACATGCATTTCTTGGCCATATTCAATGAAATATTGTTGAGCAGCTATCATAGCCAAATCATCATCTATATGAATGAAAATAAATAGTTCAGAAATAAAAACAAATCAATTCTATTACCCTTTTCACAACGATATTCGCCAAATTTAATACCACGTACAACTTGTTGATAGATTAAATTTGTTGCTACTGGATCATCCTGTGGATTATGCCATGGAGCAAAGATTTCCTTTCGAAAAAATAATCTCCATGGTGCAATTTTTTCTAATGTTCCTTGTTCTTTAGCATATTGTTCACATTGTGATATAGCATCCATGACATGATCCATGCCCGAGCCAAGCGAAGACACTTTATCGAATAATGCAATATATAATGAAAAACCAAATTTATCTGTTAAATTAATTTTTTCAGCTAATAAATCACATAGTTCACGAGCTGTTGTAGCCGAGTCAGCTTTTAATGCTTTAGAACTACCATCCATGAATGTTATTTGAAGTAATAATGGTTCTTTATGTTTTGTAGCCTTAAAATAACAAGGTCAATAGAAAAAAAAACACTTAGAAATAGGATTTATTTCCTAATACAAAGCGAGAGCAGGCTCATTAAACTGTCAATTCGAATTGTCTGACACGCAACGAACTAACTAGTATAATATACTATGTCAATACAATCGCTCGATCGAAATGTGTTAGGAAAGACTGGTTCTCTTACTTGCAATTCAAGCCATGATGGTGGTTGTGTACGAAGTCCATTCATTATAGTTCTTGCTAAACGTTCATAACAATATCGTGGAAAACCACTTGGGCCATTTAAAATAAAATTTTGTAAATATTTAATTAATTTCGTCGACGGAGCAAAACAACCGACACATAATGAAAGTAAAATCCAGCCACGTGCAATTGATTGTGACGATGGATTTGATGTTAATTGTTTACATATTTGACAATAAATTTCATCGCGTAGCTCAGCAACATGAATGCCGAGGCCAATGATGAAATGTAATTTTTCTAAATTCGATGTTGGTCGATCTTCTAGAAATGGATTCATACCAGATAGTTTGATTTGTTGTGATGTACTTAGTAGATCTAAATCTTTCAAACGTGTCATAGCGACATCCGTAGATAATTTTGATTTTCGTTTCAATGTCATGTTAACTAATTTTTGTTTAACCGAACGTGATGTTGGCTTAGTTGATGTTGGCGATGTACTATTATTTGTTTGCATGGATAATGAATTATCTGGTGGTGATAATGCAGGTTGATTATCGATGGCTTCGTTTAATTTTTGTGCTTCTTCTAAATCTTTTTTATTGAATTTCCTACCGAGTGTGGAATGAATTTTGTTCATAACTGATTGTTTTTTTTGTAAAACATTGGGCGTACGAATATCGGGTAAATCGCACATAAATCGAAGGATTGTGATCCAGATAGCCAATGCAGCCTGAATTTAAAAAAATGTCAAAATAATACCGAACAAGATTGGAAGAAGTGGAGAAATATTCATAGAAAATAATTGAAAATATGAATTTTTGTTTCGAAGAACTTACCAGTTGATCTCGTTCCGATTTAATTGCTAATAATGGCTGTTTAAGAGTTTTCCTAGTAAACGACGGTGTCGCATTGCCTTGAAAATAAGTTGAAGCAAATTTTGCGAATGTATATTCCTTCAAGTCTTCATCTTGATATGGTAACGGTAATGGTTTATCGATTCGTTCGACGTTATCCAAGGATTCAGGCATATTGCCTAATGTGGATTGCATACCACCAGTTGTCGAAGTCGGTGGACGATGTATTGGCTTGCTTCGTTCATCGCCAGTTGATGGAAACAAAGTATTAAACAAATCATTATCGTCTGGATGGTTTTTTCGTTCCATTAACAAACGTTTTTCTTTTGCACGTTGCTGTTCGAGACGTTCTTGCTCGTGAATTTCACGTTGAAGAATCTTTAGTCGTTCTTGATATTTTTTCTCAGCTTCTTCTTTCGCACGTTTAGCGCCTAGTGTTGGTATCAAACGTTTTTCTTCTTCATATCGTTCTTGTTCAGCTTCACGGAACATCTTTGATTCGATACGATATCGACGCATCTGCTTTTGCGCAATATGACGTCGAACTTCGGATTGTAAAATAAGTATTGCATTTACTTTTCTTTTATAATTTTGACGAGCTAGATAAATATTTATACAATGATAAAATTGTTTACAACATCATTTTTTTTTTCTTACCAAGATAGCCGCGACAAAAGCGTTGAAGATTGAGTATGCGTGAACGTAAAATCGAATAACGCAGTGTTAACATGCGAGTATGAAACTGTGTTTGTAGACGTGTAAAACCATTGGACATAATTTGAAAACGTCTAGCATCGCGGTAACTCTTCGAGTAGCGTTGAATGAGAAGAACACTTTCACGTAAAGCAAGAAATTGTCGACGAGCTATCCATTGACGAATTGTATTTTGTAATATGAGAATTTTTCGTGCCATTACTTTTTCACGAGCTTGCTCAAGAAAAACATCTTGTGCATCCTAATAAAAATAAAATACGAGAATTACAACAAATATTCAATCTTTTCGGCTCGAATGAATTTCTGTTTTGGAGACTGTACCTTGAGAAAAACTTTTGTTTTACCAATTTGAAAATCTTGATTCGCTAAAGCTGTTTTACAGATTTTCTCAGCAGCTGCTCGGCAATCTCCTTCGCGATGCGATGGTCCAATACCAGGTGCCAATAATCGATATCGGTCAACGAAATCTCGGAATAAATGTCGTATTGGATAACCTTTTCGTCGAATGCTAATTGTTTCCATCATGCCCGAATAGCGTAACTGTCGACAAACTAATATACGATCGAAATTCTATAGAAATAAAAAATTTAGGCAAATTATTCTAATCGAAAAAAATCAATTATTTACATCCGATGCTTTATATTCATTTGGTTTAATGCAACGAACAAAAAATGGTTGACATGCCGATAATGTACTCATCAGTAAGTCAAGTGATTTTTTAAATTGTGCGCCAAGTGTTGGTGCTCGTTTTCGTGTTTCAGTTCCGATTTGACTTTCATTGATAAATAGATTTCTCAAAAATTCACTTTTTGTTTCTTGTAATAATTTCATTAGATCTTGACTAAATGTATCACGATTCTTCTCGAGAAAATCTTCACAAAAGAAAAGATGGATAGTTAATTGAAAAATTATTTTAAAGAAAATACATACTGTCACAATCGTAATAAACATGACCGGCAAAATGTCGAATACCAAAACGGATAGCATTGTCAGTTTTTCTCGGAATGAAATTTTCATTTTTCCCATGATTGACATGAAGTTTATCACATAGGGAACGATCTGTCCCCTTCGGAAAACGACTTTCTTCATCGATCAAAGCGATGATATTCATAGATTTAATTGCTATTAAATCAAGTATGGTCTGATTATCTTCAAAGGATATATGTTTCCAATTGATGTGTTCATTATCGTACTCTTTTTGTTCAAGTTTAAATATATGATGCACAAAAAATTGTTGTAGATTTTCATTGGCATAATTTATGCACAATTGTTCAAAACTATTTCGTTGAAAATTTTCAAAACCAAAGATATCTAAGATTCCAAGGCTAAATAAAAAGAAAAAAGCACGGGCATAGAAATGAACGTTACATCAAGTTTGTTAAAACTCCTCCTGAGATAATGAGAATAAAATAAATGGAAGAAGGACAGCAGGTGAACTTTGTTTTGTATTATAATCGTTAGTAGAGCTCAGCGGTTGATGTCTTTGAATCATCAATGGGCGGTTGAAACGCACACCTGATGATTAAATTCTTCTAGTAGCTACGTCAAGGGCATGTTACTTTTCAAAAGTGTTGATAAGATCATGTCAAAACAACTTGCAATCTACAATTTGATACGTCCTTATTTACTATTATGTGAAGGTACAAGCTGCACCTCACTTTCTTGTTCCTATTACAATTGATTCTAAAAGAAGATTGAGCTGGAACTGATAATAAGGCGAACGAATTAAAATAAAATCTATTGAATTCTTCGATTTTCTTGTTACTCAATCGATAATAAAATCTATTAATAAAATTCTTTGATGTAGACTTAAGTCTATTGACATCGAAAATTTTTATTAAGACTCGTATATTCGATGGTTAAATAGTCGTAACATGATCAAAAGGAAGTTGTAAGGTGATGCAAGTCTACGTCGAATAAAGACGAGGTTATACATGGAATCGAATTAAATTTCGTGCATTGACATGCTTATCTCTGTTTCAAGGTTAAATTATTTTTGTACTTTGCTTTCTTTGCCTTGAATAAATATTCATTCAAATCCAATATTTGTCTGTTTTAATTTGAAAGGACAAGAGAATACTCCTTAAATATTCCGACTCCTTATTTTTCTTTTCATTCTATGCAAACTAAGGTTTCATCCGTTAGAGAGAAAAAAAAACGTAGTCTGTCAATTAGTAGTCGTGCTGCTTTCATTAGCATTTTTCTTTTATCTACTTATCTAAAGATTTCCTATTGTCAATAATTACCTTTTTCTATATGCTGCTGCTTCTTTGGGTTTATAGATTGTTGAATTGATTTTATCAACAATCCAGATAAACATTTTGCCATATATTCCTTTAACAAATGCGTCACTAGAATTGAAAGAAAAAGATTAGACTATTCGATACACACGGTGACCTTTACCGAATATCAAACGCTTGTTCCTGAGTAAGTGGAGTAATAACAGCTTCGCCATGAGCAAGTAGGGTACGTTTTGATAGGCCTTCGCTAAGGCCATGTTCATCAAGCTACAAAAAATAAACCATTCAATAAGAAAATGTCTATAAATAAAAATCTTATTTTTACTTTGAGCAATCTTGAAATAATTCGAAGGATATTTGTATTGGATACGACACATGTATCCATATTTTGAGTGGTTGTAGCTAAATAGAATTTGCGGTGGTGGTTTGTGCTGTTTATTGAAATTTCTAATGAAATTTACCTTCAAATTTTAAATTTCCTAAATGTAAAATAGCTGCTAATAATCGAAATATGTCATGTAGCTCTTCATCACTGAACATTAACACTTTGCAAGCACTTTTGATTATTGACCATTCTTTTGCGTCATCTCTACTATCACAATAAATAGTTCCATCAAGCTTTAATAAGCAAGAGAGCGAGAAAATGCAAATTTTAATAATTATAGAAATTTTCTTCCTGAAAAAATACCTGATTTAGATAAACATAATCGCTAGCGGCAGTTAGATCTAACGATTTTTTTTCTTCTTTCGACATTCCCGATAACAAACAATAAAAGACATGATAATTTCGTTCATCACGAGCCTAAATAATATTTCGTTTTCCTTTGTAATATTATATTGAGAAAAATCATGTACGCAACAAACCTGAGATACAATACGAGATTTTTCTAATAGATATTGTTCGATTTTTGCTCCTTCAATAGTTCCACGTTTATCAAAATGTATGTCAATATATTTTCCAAAACGAGACGAGTTGTCATTACGTACAGTTTTGGCATTACCAAAAGCTAAACGAAAAAAGAACAAGAAGGTGAAACGGAAGTTTCATTTCCTATGCGTTATTCTTCACCTTCAAGTATAGGATTAGCATCAAGAATTTGTTGTTCGATCCATGAATGTTGACCACTAGTAGCAGCCAAAAATTGAAGAATTAATTTTGTTGATTCAGTTTTTCCACTGCCACTCTCCCCACTTATGATAATACATTGATCATGTTGATAACGTTGCATACTCCAGTATGCATTGTCACCAATGGAGAAAATATGTGGCGGTAGTTCACCGATTTTTTTATTAGAATATTGACGAATATTTTCAATATTATAAATATTTAATAATTTATATGGATTAACAGCTACTAAAATTGATCCTGTATAAGTCTAAAAAGATGCAGTTTGATTTTTTCTACTTTTTTTTCGCAGTAAAATAATTCATACATAAATATGATTTTGTTTATATCGCATATGAAGATTGTGAAGTATAGCAGATTCTTTCAGATCACCCAATAGAATCATATCATCGACGCCTTCGATAGAAGTGATGTGCATTAAACGGAATTTAGTTTGTATAGGGAATTTAAGTTCCTAAAGTTATTCAATAGATAATTCTATAAGAAACAAAAAAAACAATTTACTTGTTCATTATCATCAGTTAAAATAATTTGTCCGGTTTGCGTAGCAACCACGCGAGCACCAATTTCAACATTGAACTCACTGCCGGTTTGCGGATCGACCCAAACATGGTCACCCTAACGATACAAGCAAACAATTTTATTATGTTTATTGAATGAAAAAATAACAAAAACATGATTTTATTTTATCTAGCAAAAGCAACCTGTAAAAAATAATTGTGAGTTGGTGTCAATGGCATAGTTTTTTCTTCTTCTTCTTCTTCTAATTCGATATGATTAACGCCATATACTACTACTCATGTATTTACTCTAGAGTAAGCAAGCGTATGTTTATATGCTGATTGAAATTACGGGTCTTGCCCTCTAGGCATACATTCAGTGAGCATCATTCAAGTACAATTGCGCTATACGTGTGGTCATATATTGACATTCTCTCTCTCTCTCCTGCTCTGCCTTCACTTTTTTCTTCTCTGTCCTGTAGTCTTCTTTTTTTTTCATTTAATACATAATGCAATAATAGTTTACGATTAATAGAAAGATCTAAAGACTTTTTTCTTTTCTTTTTTATCACACACTCAAATTAACACAGTAAGAGTCAATAGTTATAGTAACAAAAGGTGACTCAATATTCTTGTTAACTAATCGTTAGCAATCAAATATTAGTTGCAAGCTGTTTGCATCAAAACGAAACGAAATTTTTTTTTCTTCGTCTTCTCCTTCGTCTTTTTACTTCACATACATCACTGCGATCGTTGTGTGTATATGTGTGTGAATAAACCTAGATCAACATTAAATATCAATAGACGTATAGGAACGACAAGAAATTTAGAAAATGAGCACACGTCAAAAGTAAGCGAACATTGCCGTCGACCACGATACATAGTTTACTAAGAGATCACCCTCTGATGTCGTCAAGCTAATACATGATGTAATATAGAACAAGAATCAATAGTCAATCAAGGTGGGATATATTGAGCCAATTTTTTTTCAACAAAAAAAAAACTTCTCATAGCAAAATAAAAACTATTATTCAGCAACAATTTTATAAATATTTTAGTACCAGCGAATAATGCATTATACTGTCTTACTATAGTACATGGAATAAAATATGAACAATATAAATACGAAACAAAATCATTGACTTACTTTTGATACGCTCACCATTCAGTATAAACCTGAAAAGGACACGTAAACGAATATATTACAGTATGAACGTATGCAAAACAAACTTTTATAAAAAAAAAAACATGAAAGACAGAGAAGACAAGTTCGTTAAAAATAGTGGTGGCACAAACATACACACTTAGAGATTATGCATCACATTTTCTTCGTCTTTCTTTCTTTCAGGTGAGTATATACTTGCATGCCCGCCCCGCTACAGGTAGTCGACTGCAAAGAATGGTTCTCTTCTTCTTCTTCTTTTCTTCTCGCTTTTGCTCTCTAACGTTTTTTTTTATATTTGAACAAAATATTCTCTTTTTCTCATGCACGCTTATGCCTATGTTCGTTTTGCGTTCTCTATCTCGCAGTTACAATGACTGACCAAATGTAATCGATGAATGAGTCGCCATTCTGCTGTCTCCTTATTCTCGGTTTTTTCTATTTATTATTATTCTTATGCCGTGCTTAAATAAACGAAAGAAGAAGAAGAAGAACGAATGGCTCTTTTTCTTTTTACTCAGACAAATAGTGTCGACAGCTCTTCAATCACGAACATATTTTACCATCTGATCTGTCAACTAGTGTGCCATACGATTTTCTTCCTACTTCGCGAATTGTCCTAATGTCTATAAAAGAAGGCTTATTACTTTGTACAAAAGCAAAAAAATGCATAAAATAAAAAGCCACGACAATTCGTCTCGTCTGGATTTTCACATCAAAATCAGATCAGTGATCAATATCGAACATTTTCTCTTTGACTAATGGCACACGATAAGGACGTTTTTTCTTTTTTAAGTATCAGAAACAAAAAAAAAACTGAAGTAGCCGAAGAAAAACGAATTGTATTGTATTTTAATGCGCGATATCTACCTGCGTTTATGCTGACATTTAACGTTCCATTTCGAATGAAAAAAAAACGTAAGAAAAGAAAGAAAGCAATTTTCATAAAAAAAAGCCTGTTTTCAAAGTAAATATTATCTTTTGAAGATTTCTATTAGAAATCTAGTGAATCATGGACGAAAGCAATAAATTGACGATAGACTAAATATGAAATTTTGATTGAAATGCTGGAGAGAAAAAATAATTGTATGTTCTTTCCATAGTTAAAAGAACTTTGGCAAACAGATGTCGTTAAATGTATATATTTGATTGGCTTAGAAAAACATTCATAAAAATCCAACTAACTTTTTCTAATTTCACAGTGTAACAAAAATATTCAAATAAATTCTAAAATCTGACCATAAAAGATGATTCAACTTCATGTGGATATTCTTCAAAATCTCCAACAAGCACAATTCGTCTTGGATATTCCTTCGTCAGCGTAAGATCAATCGAAATGAATCATTGATATTCAATATATTTATTGTACAAATTAGAAGTCTTAAGTACTACAATAGAATTTCGATTCGTGACATATTTTCAAGGGCTTATCGATCATGATTTATATGCGTATATATGAGTTTCATATTTCCGCATTAAGATTAGTATGCACAACTTTTATTCAAAACCATTCGAACAGGTCGTATCAACTTGTTAAGAAAGGAACAAATACCTGACAGCACAAAACAACATTTACATATTGTGAATCCTTGCGTAATAACAAGACTATTCATGTAGAAATTTAAACTATTGAATTGAGTGTTTTGTTGCTTTTATCTTGTCTAGAATAATAATATACTCAACTTAAGGTTCAGTTCGTTGCATCACCGTATAAAAATATAACAAAGTTTGCGTACTTAACTGTATGAGCTATATACAGTTGAAGAGGTGGGTTCACTCGTGAAGTTTTATTGTTGCCAGTAAAGAGTGTGAATTGTGGTAGAAAAGAAAAATGTCGCACCGTCTCTTCATAGACTAAATCAGGTTCAATATGCAGATTAGTTGAAAAGAAATGAAACCATCTTTTTAGGCAAATTATAAATTTCAGTCTAAACAGAAAGAGAATTCATGATGATTTTTTAAAGTTAAAACTTTTCTTTATAGTGAATGTAGTATTAAAGTTGATCAAATTATCATAGGCAATGAAGAACAAAATTTGAAAACTATAATAAATTTCAATGGTCTTATTGTAGACGCCAGTAAAGGTACTGAAACTGTATTACCGGAAACAAATTCAACTAAAGAAGGACAAATTCAACGAACATTCAAGTAATTACATAGATCTTAATAAAAGTTTCCATGCGTTACTTTTTTCTCTATTTAGATTTCCATTCCTGCGATTACCTATCATCGTTGACAATAATAAAAATTATGATTTGACTAATATATCCTGTGCTGAATGCCAATCGCCAGTAAAAATCATCGGTGAAAAGTATAATTCGTCGGATTGTTCAAGAATTCGATTAACTTCATTTCTCATTCTAGTCAAACATTTAAAATTGTTCAACAACAAAATGCTAATGCTGACGATATAAATGAAGTCATCTATTGTCATCGATTTTGTGAGTCTCATCAGCATGAACATAAACACGAACCTCAACAATTACATGTTCCTCTTGATCTTCATGCGGAATTAATTGTCGTTGAAAATATCGAATGTTTCATTATAGCAAAAGAATTCTCATCGTTAGATTTAATTCATAACGATCTCGTTCAATGTAATAATTGTTCTTCCCATCTCGGATCATTTGGTATGTAGTTCATTGGCATTAGCGTCGATTGAATCTTATTTATTTTTAGATCCTCAGAATAATCTCGTCTCGTTTAACAAAAGTTCTCTATTACCATTTTCCAACGACTATCTATCGACCTGTTTTCGTCATTATGAGCCCGGTCGATATATTGTTAAAGTACCAAAATCCAATGATTCCCTATTTCTTGTTTGGATTCTTCCTAATCAATTACTCTCGACGGACATATTCATCGATGCACCAATTAACTCGGTACAACTTGATTTTTCTCGCATGCGAAAAATTCTCTTCGCTCATGTCACATCATCGGACGAGAAAATGTTTACTGAATGGAAACGAGATTTTTCTGTGACAACTCTTCTTGTGAATCGATTTTGTCTTGAACATCTATCAACAGCATTTCAACGAGCAATACGAAAATTTCCAAACGCATTCAATAGTAAAGAAACATTTCAATCAGTGACTATTTCTTGTTAAAATAAAAAAATAAAAATAAAACAAGGCACAGATAATTGCCTATATATGTCTCATCTGTGTATATAAGTCAAACGGAAAGAAAAGAAGTCAGACAGTATGTTGTCTTGAGCGATTAATCCTTTGTTTGCATCAAGCAGTAGTAAAAGTAGTAGTAAATGTGAAATGTTAATAAGACCAAACAGCAATTAGTCGACGAACGAAACAAAAGAAAAGAACTAATGATATCTGTCTAGTTCATTCGTCAACATAGATACAAGAGCACATGGTTTGACATATACATATTATATTACAATGGAACCCAACGATAGCAGCACGAGAGATTGTTCAACAATATATCGTTTTCAATTTGCAAGTATAGCTTTTCTATGTAGTGTTTATCTTCCGTTTACATTTCATTCAAATATATGGTCACTTTATACGCAACCATTTTCGCCGGTTAATTGTTCTCTGGATAAAAGTTCATTCTTATCTGGGTCAACAGCAAACGTTCCGACGAAATTAACTCCGCCATTGTTTTCTAAAAATCAAAATCGTTCCGGATGTTGTCCGTGCAGAGATTTTCTTAATGGAAATGTTAACGATAAACGTTTATGGTTACTTTGTCAATCATGGATAGCAAATAAACATGAATTAGAAGAACGAAAAGCAACTATCATCGAAGAAGTAAGTTGAATTTACTTTTACAAATTCTAAGAAAACAAATAGACTGGATAATCAATATGTTATTTGTTTACTTAGTGGCATTTAGCTTGTGGAGAAGAAAATCAGAGAAGTCTATTGATCGGGTCAATTTCATTTTTAATCGCTGAAATAATCGGTGTTATTATAATTGGCATTCTAGCTGATCAATATGGAAGAAAACTAATGCTTCTCATGTGCCTTTATATACCGGTGGTATGCTCGGGGGAGAAAATGGTTGTTGTGTTTTTTTTTTCTTCATGCTTATTTTCTTAGATATTCGGCTCTTTATCTGCTTTTACTACTACGTATTCTCTATTTCTTATCCTACGTTGGCCTGTTGGCTTTTTGAATAGAGTCAGTTCATAGAGTTGATTCTATTTGTAGAATAATATTTCGTTGAAACGTCTAGGGTCTTCTCTTATTGGGTTTTGTAATGGTCATTGAATCATGTGAATATAAACATCGAGCGCAAATTGGTTGTCTTCTTCTTGCTTCTATACCTGCTTTTGGTATTATCATTGGTGTTACTTATTTTTTTCTACTAGATTGGCGTCATATGCAATTATTGGGTATTATACAAAAAAATATTGTGTTTTGTTTAAAGTTTATTTCCTTGATATTTAGGTTCATTGATTACAACTTTAACTCTTTGCTATCCATGGTAAAGAAAACACCTATTTGCAGTTTTTTAAATTATATAAATTCAAAGTTTAGGTTAATACCGGAATCCCGTCGATGGTACGTGAATAGTCATCGTATATCACGTGTCAATAAACTTCTGCAATTGTGTTCGAACAAACAAGGGCCAACATTAAGTTTAAATAATAAAATTGGTTCACCGGCACCAACAACTATGATTTATGATAAACCGATTTTATCACCAAATACACTTCGTGTTCAAGCAAGTTCAACATCAAGTCTATTAATTGATCAGCAACTTCGTACAATTACTTGTTGTTTATTTATACTTTGGTTCGATTTTGTTCTGATTAAATTGAAACAAAACTTTGTCTTTCTTAATTTAAGGTTTCTTGCATCGTTCTGCTATCGATGCGTTTTTTTTCCGATACTTGTTTCACATCCAACGATAAATTATGTTTTAATGAATGCAACTGAATTTTTCTCATTTATTATTGCACTTCTAGTTGCTTATAAGTAAGTAGTAAATAAATCGAAGAGAAAAATATTCTTATATATATATATTATAGAATTGGTCGTAGAGCTCCATTAGCTGTACTTATTTTAATCAGCGGTCTCTCTTCTGTTTCATTAGCGATATCACTACTCGGCACAGGTTTGCTAAGTGGAGAAATTAGTTTCTTTTTTTGTATAATTTAGTTTTATTTCAAAGGACATATGTGGCTTGAAATAACACTATCGATTGTTGCTCGTGTTTGTTTACGAACTTGCTATTGTCTTTTAATTTTATTTACAACAGAACTTTATCCAACATCTGTTCGGTAAACTTTTTTGTTTTCGTATTGTCTATAAATTACATATGAATATTTGTTTTATTTTTATTTTGTAGAGCAACTGGCTTGGCTATTGGACTTGCTAGCGATATTATAGCAAGAATTGTAGTTGAAGAACTTCTTTTTGTAGGTTGATTTTTAAAGATCTTAAGAAAACAAAATCACGTCTATCAAGATTTTTCATTGTACGAAATTAGATAAAATTTTTATTTTTCTTCCTAGTTAACCATTGATCGATTATTACTTCTATTTATATCTGGCGGTATATTATGTCTTAGTTGTTGTTTGATACTTCCATTACCGGAAACGATACTCTATGATATTCCGGATTCAATTTCTGATCTTCAATCAATGAAATGTTCACCGGGAAATGATGATGAGAATAAAATATCGCCCCAGGCTACTTCTCATTATCACATGACCGAATCAAGCCCACGTAAACTTCCTCGCATATCAGAGTCAAGTACAATAACATCGGATCTTAATGATATATCGCCATTGAATCCTAAAACAATAATAAAATCTCAACAGCAAGGCGACGGCGATGAAAAAAGTCAAACGATTCGTTTTCAACCGGAAACAATTCAGTTACATTCAAATACATCAACAATAAAAGGCTTATCTAATCCATGCTATTTTTCATTAGTAAATGATACAATCGATACATATGATATTGAACAACAGGCAAATAATCGAGTGGTGATTAGTATTCGAGGTTTACAAAATAACAATAATAATAACGAGGAAGAAAGGGAAGTTACGAAGTTTTAAATGTATACATCAGTTTATGAAAAAAATATCTTTGTTGTAACAATTGTTTTTTTTTATTTATTAGTAAAATATCAAAAATTCTATCGAATATTGATAAATATAAAACTTGTACGAAAAAAAAAGATATTGTTCATTTATCGGACAATTCGATATCATTGAAAAGTTTTGCTTTCATGTAGAATTTCATGACGACTACGAATATACTTAGCGTGATAATACCATTGGCTTGTGTCTGAGAGCGAATAAATAGTTCTCAATGTACTTAACCTGTAGACATTTGAAAATAATCATATACAAGTACAATCGACCTATTGTCCATCGATATCCAATCGGTTCGTTTTGACATATAAATAATAATTGATGTTAACAAGTATCTCATGCGGAGAAATTATCCTAAAATTGGGTTAGGACAGACTATGTGTGCATTGATCCAATTTAGACATTTGGTGGATTCATATCTGCATGTTTTCAAACCTCCTAATTAAAAATTCCATCGAAAAATCGGTTGAATCGGAAAAATACCAATATGAGACCATATAGATTTCATAATCCCATGCGAATATTCTTATAGTCTCTAGTTGGACGGCATAAAAAATAGATTCAATGTATTTATCCAGTAACTAGATCAATTGATACTTAGTGAAATGCCTAAGAGTTCAAATTTTTTTCTTGCTCTCTTATATATTTCTCTCAAGAGAAAAAACATATCAAACTTAACGTACAACAGTCATTTCTCTTATGGCTCGTGTCAAGTAAAGTTGTATGATATCAATACAGTGCAAAATTAGAATCGAAATATTTGTAAGTATGTAAGGTATATATTTGGTTATTGTAAATCATCTCTGATTTCGAGTTCATTCGTATTATTCAATATATAAACTCGAACTCACTGGTGGACATACAGCCAGATAATCGACTTGAAATTTTCAATTTCGAATTTAGTAATAACTATTGTGTAGCTATTAGACATTCTATGAATTCTTTATTTATGTTTGGCTATGGAAAATAAGTATATTGGAAAACGCTTTTGCATGTTTTCCTTTAATAAACCCCTCTGATTTACCAAGAAAAGTCTTCCATTAGTCAACGAAAGTGTGCTTTCAATTTGAAATTTTCTTCTATGTTCATGGGTGAATCTTTAATTCATCGATCGCGATCGACTTGAACAATCATCCATTCAAGCAATGTGGCGTGATAAAACTGGTACTTTTATTATATCTATGAGTACTGTAACGAAAAAAAAAAGGTATTCTATACAATACGCGTGGCTGACAGTAAAATAATCAGAAGCAATAAATCGCTGGAAAAAGATTATACAATGACTATAACATTAATTCATCCGTTAATTTTGTTTGATATTTAAGATAGAACTGGCATAACACGTGTGTTTCTTCGACGAATAAATTTTTTCAGTGCATTAAAAAGTTCTCGATCGAGAAATAATGTTACGGAATTTTTAACAGCCACTGTTAAGGATAAAAAGACAATACAAATCCAATAGAATATATCGATATCGGCAAAAAATAAAGATTGCTGTTGGTATTCCTCCTGATAGATAGATTCCAAATAAGATCATTATATTTCGAAATACTTCAAAAATCGCGATCTTGTTGTCGCCCACCTCCTTGTCTATGGAAAACTCGAATAGAACTGTACTTTGCTCGACAACAAACATAACCATAAATGACAAGGATGAACAGAGTTGGTATACCATAATAGGCAACGAACGTGTAGTATACGTGTAATGAGTAAATTTCAGTTACTCAACAAAATGAATTAGGACGGAAGCAAATATCTTTGGTTACAATGCCAGGCCAAGCCACTGTAATCGCTACGATCCATTGGATGTCAATAAGAATGCAATGAGCTTTGAATGAAACCATGCAACAACAGTTGATAGCAAGAACAATGAAGAATAAACGTGATATGGCTTGAATTACATAGGAATACATGACACCTGCAACAGTCATATAGGCGAAATAGTCCCGCCATCGGCTTGACATATTACTAGCAACTCATTGAACTAAGAGCAGATAAATGAAATGATTCGATTGAGCGATACAATAGAAAATCGATCAAACACAAGTATTTCCGATCAATATATGACTAAATGTATGTATTCGTCGATTGAACGTAACTAATGTTAAGATGAGAACGCCAACGATGACAGCTAGAAATGCAAATCCAATTGAAATGGGAATCACAACAGATTCTTTGTGTAATCAATACTTGGAAACTCTAAAATTAGGTCGAACAAGGATATAAGATATTTTCATAGAAATAATTATGATGATTCTGCACGTTCTAAATTAATGAGGCTCGAGCATAAGTAGATGTGTAACGTTCTATTGTGTGAGACAATCCAAAACGCATGCTCTCATTCCAGTAGACAGATATGTCGAACTTAAACCGATTTACTTCGAAGCAATTAAAATGAATTGTGGGTTAACAAGACTAATTTCATATAGCAGATGCCTAAAACGAGCGTTCATGACAATCTTTTTCTTAACTTATTTCTCTTATTTTCATCATAAAACAAATGCAGCAAAAAATAAGGCAATAATACAGAGATGGCCTCTTTGATAGGGTCTAAGCCATCAAAATTGATCAACGAGTCAATGAGCGTTTTTGTATGAATTCGGTTCATTTACAGTCTATATTTATGTCAATCGTAGTGAATTGGGTTGTTTCCACAGCTAGATAGACAAACGTATCAATGCAAGAGTGACTGATAAAAATCAGTATCAATTTCGCAAAATACGTCAAGACTGCTTGTACAAAAACTAAATTAGTTCTAGATGATCGATGTGTTTGTGTTGAATATGACCAGTTGTGTTTCATTGTATGCACTCGAAACGAACTATTCATATGCCATGCAATATGTATTACAAAAACAAATTATGTGAGGTTCAAATTAAGAAGTAGACAACGCAAAAGAAAATACACTGATGGCAATACGTCATAGTTTACAACAACAAAAAAAAAGTCACGGAAAACATATATTAAGGCAAAAGGAAAGTGTTCAGTCGAATGTTCAACATAGATGTTTCACTTCAATTAATATGGAATCAGAAAGATACAAAGAAATACTTCAAGATTTTTTTCTCCATTTCCTCCTTTCTACAAGTGACTTTCAGGAGGATAAGCATAAGAGAAAATTGAGTAACGGTGAAACATCCAGAGTATTTTCTATAAATGAGCAAAGGAATTTTGTGCGTGAAATTGAAAGAAAAATTATTGAAGACAAGATAAACATAATGACTGTTGAAGCACTCGACATCTAAAGCGCGTTGTTCTTATTCGGGAAAAAATTAGATAGATCATGATGAAATATACAATGCGACACTTCTTTCCTTTCATTACTGTGATCTTTTCTTAGTTTGATAATGCATGACATCAAACAATGAAATTACAAAAACAAAAAGGCTAGTCTAATAATAAATCTATCTTCCAGTCCCCATAGGGATATAATGAGACATATAAGTCGGTGTTTATTCAATGATAAATCAGTGGACATAACTATAGTTTAGACAAAACGAACATCAATGAAGTCATTGTTTTTTTTTTACATTCAGGTTGTAGCTGGTGAGACATTTGTACTTTTTCGATGAATAAGTGTTTTAAATACATTGAAAAGTTCTCGATCAAGAAAAAATGTCGCTGACTTTTCAATAAATATTGTAAAAGAGACGAAGATAATACCAAACGAATAGAATATATCGATAAACGTAAAAATAAAGATTGTTGTTGGTATTCCTCCTGATAGATAGATTATGAATAAAATCATCAGATTGCGGAATATTTTAAAATCTCTATTTTGTTGCTGCCGTCCACCTGTTCTTTCAGAAGTTTGAGCAGAACTGCGTCGTACTCTACAGTAAACATAAGCATAAATGACAAAAAAAAGCAGAGTTGGTACAAAATAGTAGGCAACGAAAGTGTAATAGGTATAGATTCCAGTGACCAAACAGTGTGAATGATAACGAAAGAAAATATCTGTGGTCACAATAGCCGGTGAGCTCACCAGAATCGCGAGGATCCATTGAATGCCGATAAGAATGAAATGATTTGATTGAGCAGCACAGCAAAAAATCGACCAAGCACAAATATCTCCAATTAATAGATGATTAGCAGTATGCATTCGGCGTCGATGGGATACTATGGTTACCAAAATGAGAGCACTACATATAACAGCCAAAATGGCGAAACCAACGGAAATAGGAACCACAATTGAATAATTGGCAGTATCATTGGGAAGAATTGCTATTGTAGTGGCCGTCGAGCTCATTTTTATTTTGATGATGGTTAAAAAGAAACGTCAATCTCTACAACAATATTATACTATTCTCTTTTGACGATTGTGAATCCATCTGAAGTAGTTTTTTTTCTTTCAAGAGAATTAAGATATGAATGAAGCGTTTAATGTAATTGCTCGAAGCTGTGAAATCCACGAAGTTATTTTATTAAGTGCATGATATTGGTTCATGCGGTATAGTCTGATGAATTTTTTAGATATGACATACTCTATTATGTATATATTTTGAGTTGAACAAATCAGCAAATGTTCGATTAGTGTTCGGTAAAAAACAGTCTAGTCACAACGCAGAGTACGATATTGGCCACTATTGGTTTTATGAAACTTTCTTTATTTAGCTATTTGATTCAAGAAATAACAGTAAATTGTTTTAGTAAAAAAAATTTCAATATATATATGTAATAGATTTCTCTCAGAAACAGTTAGATTCGCTTACTAACTAAGTGACAAAATTCAAAGCCAAAAACTGAGTTCTTTATCAAAACGCTAATCACCTCTATCAAACAGTATAGAAGTAGTACAAACATTGCTTTTTTTGCTTGCTCGACTGTCCATTAACTGATCTACATTGTTTCATTCGTCTGTGAATATGTGACCTTTTACTGCAACTGCTTCTTACCACTTGACAAATCATAAATCTAATTATGAGAGAGCACCCTTATTTCGAAAAGAGTAGAAATATGTTGGTTACAAACTTTTTCCATGAAGCCTTCGCGGAAGTAGTTCATCTATCAGATAGAAGAGAAAGAATAAAAGTTACTTTTTGTATGAATAACGATGATGTTTAACATTCGTCAATCGTATCTACAACAGATTGCATTTTTTTTCTATAACTCAAAATTCAATTGAATCAATACAAAAGCGGTCAGCAATGACCAGTAAGATACTCGATTGGATCAGACAACTGTACGAGTAGTGAGAATTGTGGAAATCTAGTTTTCGTTATGGTACTGTCGAAAGAACAGATGAAAATTTACTATTGTCGATGAGCAGTGATTAATCGATATTCGTCTGCGTTTTCCGAATTTCAACTGATTGCCCATTTGATACAAGACTTTGATATTTTAATTTCACTATATTTTATGATGAGATCCTTCTGTTTTCAATACAGCAAAATAATTTTATTGTGTAAGACTTGTAGTAACACTGTTCGATTCTCAGCTAGCGATAGAAATATACTAGAGATACGGTCTTGAAACGCCAACATTGCGATAAGCAGTAAATATTATACAATGAGTGCGAACCCCAAACATGATATTCAATTATGACACGTGTTGTTTGTCGCGTTCTTTTTCTTAAACTCCATTTTTTCGCATAAAAAGAAAAGGAGAAACATACTGAAATGTGAAATCACGCTTTCTTTTATGTTGATCAATAGGAAAAAGAGAACAACAAAAGCGTCTACAAGAAACTATTAACTCTGCTGCTCGTAATATCATGGACGAACTTAACAGTTTAGTTGAAGCATTTGACAAAATCGATGTTAAATATGGAAACACTGGAAGAGAGCGTTCCGATCCAATGTGGGCAAAACGAGTAGCTGAAAAAGACCAGTTGGCAGATAAGATGTATCGACTGGTTCAGAAGGTGCCTGACTCTTTTCCATCAACAACCGATCTTATATCGCAATCATACGGCCGCCAAACCGTAGCTTTGCAACGAATTCGGTATACAAGGAATCCTCTAAATTTGGATATCGTCTGTTATATGTTGCTCAATTCACCTTCGAACTTTCTTCAAACTCATATAATGTACACGTTTGCTGAGATTTTGAGGAATTGTGATTATAGACAGTTCATTCAATGTCAGCAAACGCTTCTTGAATACTTTCCACCATCGAACACATCTCGATCACGAACAAAATCTCAACTGCTTGAAGTCATAAAACCAATGCTTCTCTTTTCAATTGCAGAAAATACAGAAAATACATATTGGTAGTTGGATGTCGAAAGTAAATTTTTCAACAGTTTTTCGGGTATTGAAAAATTTCGTATATCAAAACTATTTGTTATTCGAAATCATCGTCTCTTCAAACAGTTCGAAGATTATCGTTCTGAACTTGGAAAATGTGGGCAACTAAGGTTTGTCTATCATGGATCATCTCGTGAATGCTTGCGAGCGATTGCTGAAAATGGCTTTCTCGAACCAAAAAATTAAAGAAAATGACAGATTCCGACTTAAAATCTCACAATAGCAAAGTATTCGACAAGGGATATTTTGGTTGCGGAATCTACCAAGGATTTTCAGCTGATTATGCAATTTACTATGCTGAACGCTATAAACAGTCAGACGAAATTATTCTCAGTGCTGTGCTATCAGGCCGATCGTACACAGTGAAGAAAGCTGGCGAAAAACTCGGCCGAAATTGTGAGCCCGGCTTTGATTCACATATATCACCTGAAGCTAAAGAAATTGTTTTGTTTCAATCTGCACAAGTATTACCTATATTTATTATTCGATTTGTACGTGTGGCTAGTACACAGATCGTTGAAGAGGAACTATGAATTGCTATTGTTGCATTAGACTTGTATCGAACGTCAATTATGTGTTGTGCTTGTCGTGTGCAGTTTATACTAAATAAAGCTATTGACTTCGCTATAGAATTTTATTTTTGACGCATACCTCAGTGACATACGATTGTTGGTTTTCATTCAAGTTTGATAGATCGTTATATGAAAGGTTGCATATCTAAGTTTCCGTCGGTTTTATCAACCATTTTGATGAATATCATATTGTAAACGAAAGAGTTGTTTTTATTGAATCGATAATCCGTCGAAACCTACTCAAGCAATAAGTAACTAGACCGTAGTTTTAGATTTCTCAGAAGTAAAATTTCATTACAGAACATTTTAGATCAACTTCTATTGATTTTTATGAAAGAAGAATAAATGGACACTCATACCAGGAAGAATTTCAAAATATTCGATTATATCTTCCTATTTGACTTAATCATGAAATGTACTCTCTTCCTAAAACAAAAATACAGTTGCTTATATCATTTGAATATTGTTTGATGTACCATTTATTCTAAAACTAAATTTCGCACAGGTTTCCTTTAATCGAATTAATCACTACAGGTGATAATTAATCATCTTTTATAAAAAGAAATTATATCATAATTTTCATAGTTAGCTATTTTAGTGAAATTGATCGACTATGAAATACTTTGTGGGCGTACTAAATTTAAGTTCAACAACATGATTGTGTAGCTAACACTAAAAGTAAATATTGATTATTCAGAAAAATATTTGGATAAATGAAAGCGTAGAATCACTTTTACTTAAGTAAACTATACATGATTTTTAAGATATTCTTTAATTAAAAAATAATGCAGATAACTTCGCGTTCGATGATTTTATTTTTGACGTTATCGGTATAAAATATTATTTATTAGAAGTATTTCATATTTATATGTTCGATCTTGAAATGAAATAAACTTGATTTACTGATATGACTAGGGGTGTACATCATCATTATTATTGTGTGATATTAAATTGCCGTAAAAAAGGCATTGTGAACTTAGTTCAATGAGTACTTTAGAATGTATGATGAAGATCAAAATTATTAACTGCACAAGAACATAAGTTAAATTTGACTTTTTTTTTGATTGAAATACAAATTCATTTGCTGAAACAATCGCACTTCCATTTCATTGCTCTGATTTCATGTTAACAAAAACGTAATTATTTAAAGTAAAACATGATGTTGAATTGAATATTAATCAATATATATATATATTTATTGTAGATGCTTGGAGAAAAAGAGCAACATTTAGAAAGAGAAGATTAACAGCTAGTTTTCGATTAAAAAAAAGTAGAATATAGAATGATTCTCGTCAAATTAAATAACTCGTAAAAAACATGTCCTGTTTTAGAACCTGCAAGGTTTCCAACACAGTAATATACTAAGAAAATCTTGTGAGTATGTGTTGCAGTATCCATTATTACATTAATAATGTGGGGTGAATATGTCATAATTCACAATAATACTACCATAAAAAGTAATGATCAAAAGTGCATCATGAGACTCGCTAACAGAAGATATCAATGAAAAGTTAAGCAAGTTTTTTTTTATCTAGTTTATAACGATTGCTTGTGGCACGAAAGTAATAATTTTCGTTCTGATCGAATCAATAATATGAATAAAGTATTTTTTTCCTCAACAAGACCGTCGTTTTATGTATGATTGCATGGGGTTTAGACGAGATGTGAGATGTTGTTTTATTCTATAATGTCGCTTGATTAACAACATTAGAGATGATGAATAAAATAAAGTAGAGCAATACATTTCTAGCATTTTCGTTAATTCAAACGAAAGAAAAAAGAAAGACAAAATTTCTCAGCTAATACAAGAAATGTTATTTGACTACAGACCCAAGCAGCACATTTTTTCACACTTGATGTAGACTTGAAATATTAATTCGAAAATGAATTGTCTTATATAACTAAGAGTCAGGTTTTTTTCACGTGAGGCTATTCCTCTTATTAACAAGAATTTTATAAATTAATCCTTTCTTCTTGCTCATGTTGTTCTTACGCAGAGGCGCCAATCAGATTGCCTAATTCATTCATTACTGGTATCTGCACAAATATATTTGCTATTGATTGGTGCTTTATTGATGGCGTTGTTTTTTTGTTCAGTCATTTACATACATGAAGAGTAATTTAGCCGACTGATCATCATTGAGAAAATTAGTCGACATATATAAGTGTTGATATCAATCGTCAGTGAGCATATTGTGTGAATTATTCTAACAAGTTAATATTAAATATTCAACCAAACCAGTTACGAATATGTCAGACGTGCATTACCATTTTCATTTTACAATTAAGGTAAATTATTCCGTTATGAATCAATAAAAGATTTTGTTGTGTTAGAAAAGAACTCGAAGACTATATTTGAAGTTTGAATATCGATTGTGTTCGTCTTCTAAATGAGATTATAGGATAGGAATACTTTATCAACTTAGTTGGAAACTGTCACTTCATTCTAATCATGTATATTACGTAACAAATATCTGAAAGAAATATGAAGCATCAGACAATTTATGAAAGTAGATAGATATACATGAACTATTGCGTATTATGTTCTCTCTTTGATTTGAAAAGAGCATCTTCAGAAATGAGAAATATTCTATAGCTTATATCCATTCGTATAGTCTTACAGTGGAATGGTTTGTATTAACCGAAAATGCCATACTGTACTTTAGTCTATTTTAAAATGTAAAAGTAAAACATTCACTTCTTATATTTGAAGAAACATTGTAAAGAGGTTTATTAAATACCTCAAAGTATATCGAATTACATTAAAATATATTGAAATACTTTGAAGTACAATAAAGCATTTCGGAATATTTGAAAGTAGTGCGCGAAATAATAACCATCATACTACATACGGCTGTTGCGTAGCATCGTACTAAGTTTAGTCTCGCTTTTTCACATACCTTACTTTTTGAATGATTTGTGAACATAAAAGAATGTCAAAACAGAATTTTCCTATAACGCAGAGAATAGTCTTAATGTATACACATCCATGTAAGGCCTCTTTCCATAATGAGATCACTCAAGTAATAAATGATGTAAATATTCTTTGAAAGATCATCTATTTTAACAATTTTCTAGTTTCAAAAACTGTGTCGATTTTAATGCTGATATCATTATTTGGAATTTGTTAACAATAAAAAATAGCATTAAATAACTTAGAAAAGCCTGAAATGCAGACATAATCTTTCGTAAATTCAAATAAAAAGAAAGACAAGGTCTCAGGAAAAATGTAAGTATCGTTTGATGTATTCAAGAATGTTCTTTATCAATAACATGCTGAAGATAGTAAATACATTGGCAAACCCCTGATTTGCATACAATATGAATTCAAGATGTAATAATATAGATTATTCGTATAGTTTTTTCGAATAAGAAAGACCTATCTAATCCTCTATCATGAATCTATGATGGAGGTATCGATCATTCTTTCGTATTGGAAAAGAACTACACGAATAATCTATATTACCACATCTTTCATTCGTATAGTATGAAAATCAGCTGTTTAACAATCGATCTTCTATCTTAATCTCAACAGTAGAATATTTCGCATATAACCGTTCTCTCGCTATGCGTCATCGCCCCATTGTTGTATTTGTTTCCACAATATATAAAGACTAACGATGAATAATAGCTTACCATTCGTACATATGTCTATATATCATTTATAAGTGCATCAGTATTAAATGAACATGTATATTTATCCTATTATTGATTTTCTTTAAATTTCAGATGTCCTGTCCCTGTTCCTGGCTCTGGTGCCTTTCCAAATCCTTCTCATCATTCGGAAACAACAGCAACAGCATCCACCAAATTCAACCCCAAAATCTCCACACCCAAATTCCAGTCCCCAACAACAACATCATCATCCGACAGCCCCAATCTGTAAATAAAAGTTTTCAAAAAAAGAATCTAATACAATATTATTTCTTTTGCAGGTCCACCAGTCCCAAGCAGAAATCCAGTACCCCCTCAACTCCTTGTCCTTATCCACAGAAACAAAGGTAAACATATTCTTTAGTTTAAATTTTCACCTGACAATTTTTTAAACATTTTATAGGTTGATGAAGAAACATCCAGGTGAAAGAAAACGGCCCGTAAACGACATAAAAACAATGTAAAACGTTAAAAAACGGCGCCGTTTTCCGTCAGCTCGGAAAACGACGAGAATAGTGTTAAAAGCGATGGCCGTTTTCTAGCAAAAAAAACGGCTCGTAAAACGAGCTGACGGATTACGGCGAAATAGGGTGAAATTAATGCCGTTTTATGTCGTTTTATAGCCGTTTCAGGTCGTTTCCGATGGCCTTTCAGACGGCAGGATGATTCTCCTGGGCAGCCAGTATCAACAACTCATCGTCCAGCAGCTCCCCACTCAACATCACCCACCAACAATTCCATCGAGGGGGTGCAAGAGCCCCCATCCGACGTCCACCAAATAACTTAGCCCTGTCCACCACTGTCACCACCACCCATGTTTAAACTTTTTTTCTTTTTTTCTTTATTGTCTTTCTTTTTTTCGATTGAACCCCATCGAAAATTAGATGTTTTTCTTATTAAATAAATAAATTTACTGTTGTTAAAAAGAACATTTTTTTATTCAAATCTTTTTAGCGTTAAATCCAAACCAAAATAACATACAATTTGTTCGATAACAGTTGCGCGTATGGGGTGGTCATTTAGTGTTACTTTAGAAAATAAAGATATAACGGGTTGCGCCCATTAAGATCTTATTTGTTTGTAACCAGATGCACATTTACGTATATAAGAACGCATTTGGAATAATACTTATTCATTGAATGCTTGTTTGAACAAGTGCACGAATAAATGTTGATAGTTGATTAATAGATGGAACCATTAATGACAAACCATGTTCTAATAATATTGGATATGAATCTGTTATTATTAAATTAAAATATTTTGAAATCATTGTCACACGTGATAATGAACTTATGTATTCAAAGACATTTTTATACCTTTAACCTTTTCTCGTTGAAAGAGGGGTCCACGAGAAATTTATTTTATCCCCGTTTAGTTTTCTATATCTATATCTATATATATATGAATTAAACTTCCTTTACTACCGTTCGTCTCTTTACTCTCTGCTACGAGTGATGTGTGTTCGAAAGGTAGCAAATTTCATCAGATATAAATACTGTGTGATGCGAACAAGCGAATTCATCGTTAAAACGATTTGCCGCCCTAATGTCGAAAGGGGAAAATGTTAAGAGAAATAGTACTAAGGTGAAAACTGACCGATATATGTTTTTAGATAATTCTGATTAGTGCAGCAAGTTTTATTATATGTTGTAATGCCAACATTCTAGAAGAGATAAAATGTAACTGAAGAGAAAAAAAACTGGTAATATGTCATTCTTATTCAAATTTAATTCATACATATATATTGTTACAGTTATAATGAACAATCAATAGATAAACATATATATATTGTTACCAAATCAGATATTATTTAATATTTTGAAAAAACTCAATAATATGGATGTTCTTTACTCTCTACTTGATATCAAAAATCAACAACTTCATATTATAGCACAAGATAAAATCTTCACAAACATTCTTAATTTTGTTCCTATATTATCAACTAATGATAATTCTTCAATTTCTAATCGAAAACTTGATAGATTTTGTTTTGAAATATTACCTCAAATTCATCATAACGTAAAATGTCTCATTCTCGAATCAGTTTCTATAGAACGTATTCTTTATGCTGTTGAATATCCTAATCTTACTCAACTTAAAATTTTCAATTTCAATAAAGAAATCATCTCACGTTATTTTAAAGGTAATGAATTCACATATATTGAACTTTCTTCAAAAACTGAGATACAAAACATATTGAAGAGTAAAGATTATGCAATATCTATGTGTTTGTTTTATGTTTAGACGATTCTGTCTTTCAACATATTTGTAAACAAATTACGGATCTTAGCCTTATTGGTAACGAAAACAAATTGGAATACTATGCACGAATTATACCATGAATGTTTATGCAATTATTTTGATTTTCTTCAAAAATCTCAAGCATTTGGCGATTGCGCCATTGTCCATCAACAATCATCTACCTCTGCCACTGAAAGATTTGTCATCGAGTACATTTTCTTCTTCAACACTTACTAAATTATGTATTAATGTGCTTCATTTTGGTGATTGTCAGGCTTTACTAGATGGTCGTCTCACACAATTAATTATATTTATTGTTCAAATTGATTTTTATCTACGATATGCCATCGATATCTTACAATATGGTAAGTTTATGATTGTGTTACTATTATTATTTGGGATCATCGATAAGAATTGTCCGGAAAAAATTTAAATTGGAGTTCTTTTGTGAGTTTGAAACATTGAAGTGGAATTTTGTGGAGCTGAAGACTAGCACATACTCGAAGTTCTCCATCTCTAGTATTTATTCATTCAAGTAATTCATTTTAGAGAAACCTATATAGCAAATTTCGTCTGAAGATCTTAAACATGTTGAGAAAATTCATTATATTGTATTTTATGCTTTTGTCAAATTATTAATTAGTCTTATATTAAGAACTCGAGCAGTAAGAAGTTATTATCTTAATCGTGATTATTAGTAATACATAATTTATAGAGTACAAATGAAGATTTAAAGAGAGAATTAATAAAACCTATGAAACATTATTTTATTCTTGTCTAAATTTATCTTTTAGTTAAATCGGTATACATATACTGTTCCAGAGACAATTCTTTTCAATTTGTAAGATGATCTACTTAATTTGAAATGTTTTTCATTAATATGCTATAATGCAACTGATTTATATGACAATTTAGTTGTACCTCTTCTTCGTCGTATGTCACATCTTGAAGAACGAACTTTGCATGTTTATATCTTAAATCGGCCAACATTCGTCAATGGTATTCATCTGCATAAGGAAATTCTAATTTATATGCCCCGACTTGATAAACTTACTTTTTATATTAAGACAACAAATGAGATCAATGGTTCAATTCATCGTCTATGCAACGATGATATCCAACGAACGTTTTCATATACAAATCATCGTCCAGTGATCTCTATTGTAGATTATTTTGGTACTTACAAGGCCGCATGTCACGTTTTCTCTCTTCCATTTCCATTTCATCGTCTCCAATGGATCACAAACAATTTTCCACCTATTATATTCAGTTCTGTAACTGATTTGAAGTTATCGGATACTGTTCGAATCAAACCTGAATTTTTCATTCGAATTGCATGATCGTTTCCATCACTTAAATATTTGTTTGTTAGAAATATTCGATCTCCATTGTGGAGCTTTCGTGAATCTTCTTCAGTTAATGATCGTTCATATTCAATTGTTGAATATTCTCATCTGATTTTACTTGACATAGATTTTGTGAATATTGATTATGTTGATCAGTTTCTCAATGAATCAAAAACACGTCTCCCATGTTTAACCGAATTAGTAGTTCAATTTAATGCATTGAAAAATGTGAGAGAGAATTTTACAGGAGATGCTACCCGACGAAATTGTGCTAAAGTGAAACGATTAATTATTAAAAATTTAATAGATTTTCCGAAAGATGTCTATCGCTATTTTTCTTCATTGTAAATTCAGATTTGTTTTTTTTTCTTATTTTAATAGAATTATACGATATATATTCTCACTTCTGTTTTTATTGAAGGTGAAATACGACGGAAGAAGGATGTAACCAGCATTTTTGAAAGTAGTAGTTTATTGTCTTGATCACACAGATGATGACTCAGAAACGTCGCATAAGATATTATCATTTGCTATTATAATTTCTGAGTAAATAAAACTGAGAAACTTATGGATGATGTTTACAACATATGATGTGTTCAATATGAATAATTTTGACAATTTTAAAGATTTCATCAAATAAATAAATGTTATAATATATAATTGCATTTCACTAAGGAACGCATTGAATGATAGTATATAAAAGTTCTTGTATTTTTGTCATCAAATCTATGTTATAGTAAATATCCTTTGTTCACTAGCTCATATAACAAATTAATGATAATAGAGTACACGTATCAAGAGATTTTTTTTCTTTATTTAAGAAATATCATATTAAAATAAAAGATGGGCAACAACCATTGCTTGCTGTTCAATCGAGCAAACGAATGGTTAAACGTGGTATGAAAAAATAAAGATTCAGGATTGATATTTTTAATTCCCGAATTATGTTGTATAACTGGTAAAACGAAACTTCTTGACGTTCATTTTTTTTTATTAATTTTTTTCGCGTAACACGTATTTCGGATTCCATGAAACAAGATTTTTCATTAATGAAAGAAATGAGTAGTTATACACACGTTGGACCAAACGAACGATTTCAACAATTAAATGAATTTCTTAATGATATTCAAAAACGTGAAGAAGGACGTAAAGAATTAAGTAAATGGCAAATAAATCTTGATAAAGAACTTGTTCAACTTACTGGTCGTACAATGAAAGCTGAATCGATTATTTATAAAGATCGTACAATTAAATATGATCCATTAGAAGCTGATAGATCTCGTGATGGTCGCTCATTAGCACATCTTTCAGCTAAAAATCTTGATAAATGGATTCTTATTTATTCTCAACGTCATTCACAAATAGCTCATTCATTTGTTGATTCTCTTAATAAAGTTTGTACATCATTCGGTTAGTTTATTTTTTTCTCTTATCTAATTCGTTTTGCTTTTCTTAGGTATGCGCGTTGATTTTTCTGAAATGTAAGTCTATTTTTTTCTAAGGTATTTTTTTGTGAAAAAAATTAATAGGATCGAATTACCAAACGATCGATCTAAAACATTTATTCGTGCTATTGAAAATAAAGCTAATCCGCAATTGGATTTAGTTTGTTGTATTTTGACGAATAATCGAAAAGATCGTTATGATGCAATAAAAAAAAGTTTTATATGTTCATTGTCCTGTACCATCACAAATGCTTTTATCGAAAACATTACAAAAACCAGGACAATTAATGTCAGTTGCAACTAAAGTTGGTATTGAAATTAATGCAAAATTAGGTGGTGAAATATGGGCTGTGCAAATTCCGGTTTGTCCTTTTTCTTGAATACATGAATTAACTGTTTTTTTGTTATTATTATTTCATAGTCAAAAACATTAATGTTTATTGGTATTGATACAAATCGTGATTCTCAATCACGTTCATCTCAAATGGTTGGCTTTGTTGCATCAATAAACCCAACATGTACGCGTTATTATCCACGTGTTATCGAACAACGAAGTACTAATGATTTCATATCAGGATTAAAATCCTGCATGCAAAGTAATATACACATTTGGTTTTTTTTACATTGATCTTAATATTTCGATATATAATTAGATGCACTTCAAAAATATCATCACATCAATGGTGTTTTACCAGCAAAAATTATTGTTTATCGTGATGGTGTCAATGATTTGCAATTACTTGATGTTATTGAAAATGAATTACCAGCATTGAATGAAATTTGTATGAAAGCGCAAGAAGGCTATGAGTAAGTTTTACGGCATACGCAAACGGCGTCAACGTAAAAATCGCATTATATGTTCTGCCTTTAAGATGCTATTAGGTACGATTCTAGATGATAAATTCACTGATGATTACATTCAGATTGCCAACAGGTTTTTGCTAATTAAGGAATAATACTCACAATCACTAAGATACGTCACCAATGTATTTTATTCAATGATGAACAAAAGTCGAAGATAGTAGTGAATACGGGAAGAAGGAAGTTTTTTATAGCGAAAATGTGTATGATGAAGAAAAGAACGGATGAAAACAAAATGAGTATTCGTGAAGAAGATAAGTGTATATAATTTAGAGTGGGTATAACAACGTATGAATTCTTGTAATTAACAAGAGAATGATTATGAAATGATCACCATAAAGACTAAAGAAAGCCAGACAAATCACAAAGAACACACAAATGCATATACAACAAGAGAGAAAGAACATAAGTGACGGTTAGTACCATCGCACTACCTCCTCGCCACGTTATCTGTCCAGTTACATAAAAACCATTCGATTCTTAGACGTGCAATATTTAAAAACAATTTTTGAGAAAGAGCCTGTTTGATCAAATATATTGTTTCTTGTTCGTTTTTAAATAAATATATTAAAATGCTCATAAAACTGCTCCACAAAATACATAAATGTCTATTCATGTCGCATAATCTTAACCCTTTCCGCCCGGATGGTACCAAATGGACATATTTTGAAATTGTTTTATCCAAAACTGTTTCAAGCTGGTGTTGAATATCGTTCTGATACCATGATAATAAAGGGCACATATGTCACAGTTTAATCACCTTTCATTCAAAATAAACGCACTTTGCTTTCTCAAAGCATCACCATGAGAGTTGAGTACCATGGAGAGTTCCTTCAGTCAAAACTATCCCTGTTTTGAACATCTAATAAAAGTCGATATTCGAAGCACCAACTGCAAAGCTTTTGCTGATAGATTCTCAGTTTCCGTCACTGTTAATGACAATGTTTCAGTAATGAGTAATACAAGAAACAACAAGAATGTTACCTTTTGGTCACATCCGATCGTAACGGTACACACATGTCAAAAAATCGATTCCTTTTTTACCTAAAGGAGTTTGATGGCTTATACTTTTTCTTAATCCATACCTTGAAACTAGAACAAAGATTATGTTTCTACCTCTGCTCTTGATGCCTCAACTGACTTATCGCTAGAATATTGTGACATATCACGAAGTTCAGTCCCAAAATCTCCTCAAAAATTTCATGCAATTTGCATGTGTCTGGGTCAGAGTCGGGTTTGAGAAAGAGCGAGAGTGGCCTTAAGTGTCCGGCTACTTTTTGGAGTACCTGTAACACTCGAACATAATAGAGATCAATAAATCCAATCACTTAAAGTATTTGTTTATTCGACAAAAATCGTGCTAATTATAAGTTTAAGTTTAGTTTAAATAAATTCAAATGGGCGCATGCTAAATCTCCAAACAATTAAAACTACGACTCGGAATATTTTACTTTAGAAAATTTTTCTATTACAATCTTATTCTTGGATACAATATAATTTGAGAAATTGCCTTTCTTATTGTAAGCATATTGTAAACTTACGCTCTTTCTTGAAAATATTTACGTATTTATTGTGGATATACTCAAGAATTTCTTCTATAAAAATACTCGATAGATGTCACTCTATTATATGGAAGAGAAAAGAATCATTTTGCGGTGAAACAGGTGTATAATGATAATATGAATGAACACAATCGTCCATTGTTTTATGAAGACGAAGACACAAAAAAACATTGATTGTAATGTCGTCGATTTGAATAGAGATAAAAAAAAGAAGCACTGCTGCGTCAAGTAGTTCAATGACATTAATAACACTGTTCAATGATTTGCCTGATCTGGCATTAATTGAAATTTTTTCCTATTTATCGTCTCTTGATATTCTATGGGCATTTAGTTCCCTTAATCAACGTATATCATTATTACTTGTTGAAAGAGGTTATTTTCGTTGTATTAATTTATCAAGCACTCGTCATCGTCAATTTCATATTCTTCTTGGTATGCTTCCGTTAAATGACATCAAAACTCTCATTATTGATATGGATTCATCACCTCTTCAACTCTCTCAATGGCCCTATTTGCCTTGGTTGAAAACGTTCATACTAAACGGTACACGGGAATTCAATGATGTTTTGATCTTTGTTCTACTACACGCAGCTACACTTACTCACCTGACGATTCAAACAACTGAAGAGTTTGTTGCGGTAAGTATCTTCACAATTACTATAAGAGCAGCTACCACCCTTCTTTCGAGAAAGGATCCCACTAAATAAGATGGTAAATCTTTGTCATCTTCTTAGGTTAAAATTTTCATAAATTGTAACTTAGTAAGCTAGTAAAGATTTACCATCTTGTCCGGAGATATCTCCTATATTTTATTTGCCTCTATTCCTAAAATGATTTACCTATATAGAATCGCTTTGACTGTTTCATAAGTGATGACACGTATTTCTCTCGGTAGATATTTTACTTGCTTATTATTTTACTGTTTATAGACTGGTTTTACTCGAAAATATTTGTATCCTTTGGGTCACATCACTCCTCTCGTTCAAAATATTCTTTTACTTCATTTATCGGCTCTACGATCGCTCGACTTGGGTACAAATAATTACAATCGGATGCTGTTTTGGCGCATAACTTCCATATCAGTGCCACTTACTTATATTCGTATTGTGTTAAATACTGTAAATGATTTACTTCATCTAATGTCTACATTTCCATTATCAAAAACATTATAGCAATTGCATGTCAAACTATCTGACTGTTATTGGGACTTTGAGTTTCCTTTACCAACACCAAATGTATTACCTCGCATGAATCAGCTGCACACATTTACATTTGCAAAATCATTTCAATGGAAACTAAATGCTGAATGGACATTTGTTGAGATACTAACGTCTGCAAATGTGATGCCTATATTGTGAAAAGCCAATCTGGCAGTTGCTCTCACTGTTGAAGATTTAGATCGAATCAATCAATCTTCGATCTTTATTGATTCTCGTCGTGTCGATGTACATTTTGCATTGCATATTCATGGTACTTGTCATTATACTAAAGCTAGAGACCACTTGCCACGTGGTAGTCTTTTTCATCCAAAACAAGTAATGCTTTCTAGGTTTATCACTAATTATTGGCACAACATAGCACACTATACAAGTCTTGATTTTGATTATGTAAGTGAATATCTTACTTTGTTTTTTCATAAAAACGTAGAATTCGAGCAAACTTTTTATTTGTTTTCTTATACATGCTTAGATAAAGCTTTACGAGCAAAGTAAAGATATGTATTTTATTAGTTCCTTTTTGAAAGCGTTTTTATACAAACAAAATCGAGTTTTTTCGATAGTCCTGAATGGTCCACTATTTCTAAAAGTATTTTTATCATACTAAAACACCGATAAATTGTTTTAATTAGTAGAAAACGCTTTCATTTTATACGGATGTCAAACAAAATTATGTTTAGATTCCCAATGAAAACTGAATCTATGAGACTAATGTTTGGTATTATTCACGTATGTTATCATTATAAAATGAGCGACAAGTAACATTTCAACCAATCAATGAAAATTTTCGTAAAGCTATCTAGTATTTTCTGCGTCATGTATATGTAAATTTTAGGTACTATCGGAATTCTAGGCATTGCATCTTGAAAAGTATCATTCAACACTAGTTTAGAACCGCTAAACATGAAATTCTGTTAGTACTACGAAGTTTCCTCCGCCGATATTCGGGCATTTTGCGATAAAAATGGTACATTCGGAATGTGCATGAAAAACGGAATCAATTTAGGTATATTTTTAGTGTTCTCTTGGTTTTCATAAAAATCATCTATGACCTTTGCCTGAAATCGGAAAGTCGTCAAAAATCGAAGTCCTCAGAAATGAAATAAAATCATTCTGTTCAACTCAATTTTGTCATGTTGATTCTGAATTTACCATTTTTATAGCTGAATAGTCGAATTTTAGCGAAGAAAACCTCGTAATAATGACAGGATTTCATGCTTTTGAGATCCTGAGTCAGAGTTGAACATACTTTTCTCCAAAATAATAATGTGTTGGAAAGCCAAAGCAATACTTAGTATGACATAGAAGAAACAAAGATAACTTTAGGAAAAACTTCACCGACTGGTCCAAATGTCACTTACCATTCATTTTATGACAACAACATACTTGAATATTACCAAAAATTAGTCTCATAGATTTAGTTTTTCATGACAAATCTAAACATATCATTTTTTTTGAAATCCGCATCAAATGATAGCATTTTTCTGCTAATCAAAACAATTTATCGGGTTTTTAGTATGATAAATAATTATACTTTTAGAAATACTGAACTATCGAAAAAACTCGATTTTGTTTTTATAGAGACGCTGCCAAAAAAGAACTAACGAAAGGCATATTGTTGCTCAGCTCGTGAAGCTCAATCTAGTCATTTATAAAAAAAGATTGCTCGAATTTTGCGCTTTTTACAACTTATGTTTCATAAAAAGAATTTAAAAAATATGTAAATTGCTGTATTCTTTATAGATGAATGAAGGTCAAGCTTGTCGACATTTGTGGTACACTCTTCCGTGGTCTTTTGATGAATTCTTTCAATTATACCTTTCAGATAGACGCATAACCGAAAGAGAAATATGCGCGTATCCTTCTTCAATCGCTACCATTCGTTCATCCTCTTTTATTCCATTGAATGGAAGAGGTGACACCTTATTATCGCCTAATTTTTCATTGGTTCGCACGTTACCTCTCGATAATGTTGACTTACACAGCTTTCGTTTTTCTGAAGCAACTATACGTGTAACTATTCCTACACATTATATCATTTTGATAAATAATATTTGCTGTTTAAATAATTGTTTATTTACATTAAATATTCGTTCCATTCATATTTCACTTTACTCATCATCAAATATTGTCGATATCAATTGGAATTCATTACATGTATTGTCGTTACTTCCATTGTTAAAATCACTACGCATTGTTGTATATAATGAAAAAAAGATTCTCGATAGCAAAGATTGTCAAATAATCGTCGAAATATTGTCGATGCTCAACAACTTTGCCTTTTGTTTTCGAACAAATAATGATTATTGTAGAGATACTGCTATTGATATCTATGACGTCTATGGTAAATCAATAGTCAACTTGCGCCATCATATATTTACTTATTTACTTGATCAACAATTTGATATCATTATCGAGTCCGATGGCTGCGGACTAGCTGTGTGGTTGTGATTGATAAATATGTAGAATATATTTATTCATAATAGTTGTCGAATTTAATATTATAATTATGAATATAAGTTCATGCTTAGGCGTTTGATGATTATTTACTTTTTCTGAAAACACAGATATGACTATCAACAAAATAAGCATGAGTGAGACAATGAGATATAATTTGACTAATATTATTTCTTTTAAAATAAAATATTGTCAACGGTTTCTCTGAAACATTCAAAAATTGAACCGGTTAGTCAATTGTTATTTATGGCATTCGAAAGAGCATAGTAACAACGAAATTTTGTTCATATAAGACTTTGAGCGGCGGAGCCACTGGACTTGGGGAGGCTCAAATGTTAAAAAATATTTTAGACATAATCGCGAGTTTACGCCTTATTAGCGAAAACTGAACAAACGTTGACTCGTGTTTTTTTCTGAATGGTATATCCAGTCAAATGTTAGATAGTTCATATATATCGCTATATTTTTATGATCATAAACATTTATCTCTACTTCAGTTTTTCAACAACAATTTGAAGTAATAGACGAACACGAATCTTTTGGCAGACAAAATCTTTACTAGATAGTGTGGAAGCAGTATATTCACTAATGTTCACGTAGTTAGTGCGAATATATTATCAATTAATTTAACTGACCGCATTAAAACTCCTTGTTTATAACATGTAACGAAGATAGAGAATGTAGATAATATATACAAAAGAATTGAAATCATTAGTGACGTATCAAACATTTGGTTTTAATAATAATTTAATAAGTTAGAAGTGCTAAAAAGACCAGTGAAAGTACAATCATTTTGGTGAAGTAGCAATAAAGCACTCAGATGATGATTTCATTCAATTTGTCTTATCGAATAAAAGACGTCTAAATTTAGTTGTTTTCACGTATTGCTTCACCATTAGTGTTTTATTATAAAACGATCTGTGCATTTACAGTTAAATTTTCCGAATTACATAAGAATACTCTAATCTCTATTCTTTTTAATAGTCATTTGATAAACAAATAACGTTTTCTTAACAGAGAAAAAAGAATTTTATAATGTTTAAGACAAGAATAGCAAAAAAAGTCTTTTTTAGATTAACAAAAATGCCTGTGTCAGTTGTGAAAATCTGTTTTAGATGCCACATTTATAGAGAAATGGATTTTCTCATTGTTAGAATTTTCTTTTGGATTTAATATTAATAAACAAAAAAGTGCTATTTATTTTTGTATGAACATATTTTTATTTGCTGATTTTCGAACTAAAACAAATATGTTAAACAATGAATTGTTTCTTTGATAGTTTTGATTATCACAAAGCAATTTTCTTTGAATCAATGTTTTATATAGATCCTTTCTTTCTTTCGTTTGATATTCTATAGTCAATAAGATGTACATACCCAAAGAAGGCAATCAATACTAAATGAAAGTTACATCATCGGAGGGTGTTGGTGTAACTGAAGAGACGAGTCGCAGCCGCATTCTCAATTAGATAAGTAGAAGTGTAATAAAGCAACAAACTATGTATAAAGGCACTTGTCTGCCTTAGTGAATGATAGAATGCTGGATTAACGTAATCGTATCTCTGATCAACACATATTTTGCTATGCAACAACATAGAAACTTTCTCTATTGTCGCTTCGATGTAATACTGCTCTTCCTTATTGTCTTTGAGTTTGATCCAGGCCTATCAATCTATCGTTGAGAAGTTCCTACAGAATAACATTTCAATTATCATGCTTTCTGATATTTTTGACTTTTTGTTTTCAAATAACTGTAGATATATTTTGAGCATATCAAAACTAGTCTCGTCAACGCGCTATTTCCGTATATAAAACTTAAAGAAATTTCATTTTTTTATGCAATGATAGAGAAAAAGATGCTCTATTCTTCTATTATATTTCATCACTATTCAACTAATATTATAACTACAAAATTTCAATAAGATCTGTTTCATTCACATCTGCGATCGTAACATGAATACCCGTGAGTATTTTTCCAATAACGTTTAACAAAAACAGGATAGAGAATGGTGATTTTCACCGTTAGAAGGAGGAGATGAAGACGCATCGAATCATATATTGTAGGTTTTTCTAATGTGGCTTCTCAAAGGTTTTTTTGTTCCATTTTCTAACTGTCGGAAAGATACTTTTCTTATGAAAAAAGAAAAAGCAAACAAGTTGCTAGAAAATCGTAGTAGAGTTTCAGATAGAATCTATAGTATCTCTGAATAATTATATTTAAACATCTCGGCCTCTCACAGTTTGTGAGTTTGCGATTAGCGGTTTGCATACGCACCTGATTCTTGAAAATAAACGGTAAACAACTCATGGTATGTGTTTGTTCTGTAGAAAGCCAATTGACTACTTTACAAGAAAAGCAGGCCAGGAAATTCTGTAATATATACGAATCGATGTATCTTCATTTTCGATTTACAACGGTGAAAACCGTAGGTCTCTATCTTGTTACTGTCAAAAGTTATTCAAAACATGCGTGCATTCATATAACCGCCACATTTCATCACAAACAACTCTGTCGAAATTTTATAACCATGATATTAGCTGAATAGTGATAAACTAGCATAGAAAAATAGAGCATCGTTTTCTCTATTATTGCATTAAAAAAGTTCCCTCAAGTCTTCTATACGGAAATAAGATAATGACGACACTACTTTTGGTATGCCGTAAGGATATGTATATCGACTGATGATGGGCCTCTTTTGAAATATTTTTGTCAGTTAATTATTTAGCAGCATATGAAAACCGAATAATTCTTAATTAGAATATTATCTTTCCAAAAACATATTTTCAATAATTGAGTCGATGCCATCGAATAATAACTCTTTTAATGATTGATGTTTTAATTGCCTATTAACCAATTTTTAAAAATGACTTGACATTTTGTTCATATTATTTATTTTCTAATAAAATATTTTCGAGAATTTGGTGCGTGTTGCTTTAGAATATAATTGAAATTTTTAATTTACTTTCTAATAGACTACGAAGCTATTTCTGAAAAGAGATTAGCATACGGAAGATTTTTGAAAAGTGACCACTATATAAACGATGATGTGAGAGATAATGAACATGAACTCTCTTACATTATTTTAATTCATTGTAGTATTAAAAAAGAACAAATATCAATGCGTGCTTTTATTTTTTTTTCTAATTTAAAAGCATTTTCTTTTAAATGAAAACAGCACGTTCTGATAATTCATGAACATGCAAATGATGTTTGTGCAGTTGTTTTATTCATTATTCATCTCCAGCTGCATTATCTTGCTCATCGACATTTGGCTTCAATCTAAATAGAAAATTGAATAGTTAAAAGCAATCAGATATAGAAGGCCGAACTCACTCAACTACAACATTGTTTTCAGTAAATTTCCTTTTTAATACATTTCGTTTACTACTTATAACATTGTTCTCGTAATACATAATACCGATTTTTCGTTCCACTGCTGCACACACCGGATGACAAGTCTAAAACAAAAAGAATAGTTGAATTTCTGTGCATATCGAAATCTATAGATGCTACCTTATTTTCTATGTAAACTAGCCACCTATGTATACAATGCCGAAATTTATTTTGGACTCTCCAACAAATTATAGTAGCCATGGGCGGCGCAAGCTAAAGTTTCTAGGGGTAGCAATAAGTTTATTAAACCGATAATGTTTAATCAATTTTCTATGTGCTAAAGAAATAGTTTTGCATCAAATAGCAAACAATAAAAGCAAACCTTTTTACAGAAATTGCTAGAAAAATCGCTTACGGCTTCTACTAGAATATCTATGATTCCAGAATAATAAATTCTAAACATGTCAACTCTTTTTGCTGTTGTATAGATCTTTCATTAACGGTTTGAATGCACACGTGATAATAGAAAATTCGCTGCACATAACTCGCGAAGTAGATTTATTTTGAAAGAAGACTGAAAAATCTTAAGAAAATCAGAATGAAAAAACCTATAATATACGATTCGATACATCTTTATGTCCTCTTTTAAACTGTGAAGACCACAGCTCTCTATCTTGTTCCAATGAAAAGTTACTCAAAAAGTACTCACTTGGCCTTTTTTAATATAATTAGTGCTACTGTCGCATTTTATAGAAAAAGAACAGTTCTTATGCAGGCTTTTTAATTTTGATATTAAGTGAAGATTGATCAAGTGCCGTAGAAAAAAAAGAGCATTGTTTTCTCTATCACTATATGAAAAAAGAAAATTGTTTCAAGCTTTCTATACGGAAATACAGTATTGACAACACTACTTTTGGACTGTTCGTAGTACATCATAAAAAAATCGAATTGAATATAAAACAGCGGAAATTAATCAAGAGTTTCTTTGTATCAGGAAAGGAAGCGAAAAAATAGTCTTTGTTTCTCCAACCATGTAATGCAAACCGACATCAAACTTGACACAAATAAATTTCAGACATACATGATGAAAGTAGAGCCTCAGAAGAAAATAAAGCAAAGCTCATCGTGTATAAGCGTTCTTCTAACAATTATCGAAATGTGTATTATTAGGGGTAGCAATAGCTTTTTATTGCTACCCTTAAATTTCCATAGGGGTAGCAATTGATACCCCTCGCATAGCTGGCGCGCCGCCTATGATAGTAGCTAATCTTATAAAGATATGGCATAATTGATCAAATATCATTTGATATATGGTTGATCCCAAGAGTTTAAAACACTTTTATTACTTTCGTGTTTTCTTTGAAAAGAAAGAAAGTAAAAGACGTACTTTGAGTGCCATATAAAGTTAGAATCAAGGTCTACACAAGTCACCTATCCTTGACATAATTAATTGTAGTGTAACGAAAAAGAAGTAATTTCAATTTTTCTCTAGGAGGCAAAAGTTTAAGAAACTTTTCGTATTTTGTCGATTACGTCATTATCAAAAAAGCAGAGACATTTGCCGAAGATATAGCATTATACGCAGCATTGAAGAAGCTACATTAAGGTAAAAAACACTTTTGAAAAATTATTCCTTATAATAATTTCTAAAACTTCTTAATTAGAGAAATGTTTTGTTGTTAATTTGCATCTTCAAGTCTATCCGTAGAAAGAGTATTGAAAACTGAATAACACTGTATTTTTGTTTTGTAATAACACTATGTGACAGGACTGTTTTGAACACTAATTAAAATTTAATCAATACTCTATTAATAATTAAGGAAACTGCTGAGGAAAGATCATTAACGTAACTGATAAATCGCTTTTATGTAGGGACAATGTGTAGCATGCAGGTTCTAATGAGTAGTGAATTTCTTGATAAGATTTCGGGCTTTTAACTTATTGCTGCTGAAAAACTACATTTTTACGGTATTTGTTTTTCATGAATGATTTCCTTGCCTTCAAAGACACCGAGAAAACTCATTAGCGAATTTTGACTTGCAATCTTCTATAGAGACCTTAACGGGAGTAGTTTATTATGAAAATTTCAGATCTTTTTGTTGTTCCTATCCAAAGATACAGTTATGACAAAAGAGTGTCTTCGCTATGGCTAACATATACTAGAAACAAAGCACGCAATCAGCAATGTCACACGCTACTACCAGGTTAAATTGTTTTTTTTTATTCTTTAGTCTAGCATCATATCAATAATTTGATATGGTTTCATTTGTAATTAAATCATCGATAGGTCTCTTTATGCATGTTAAATATAGGTTCAAATACCCGATTTTTATTTTGCCATCGATAATAGATCCCCACAAGTCCATTCATAAGCATAAAAGAATTTACCCGATCGAATTCATGAAGTTAGTTTAATTATATTGCTCAGTTCTGCTCAACGAGAAGTTCAGCAAATTCAGATACTCACTATAACTGATCATCGTTTTCTTTTAATAAAGCGATTGTCGATCTTTTGTCCATTCCTTCTTCAGAAAGGTCACAATAGATACTACCGGTAGTAACTGACAACAAACACTAGGAAAACAAATTACTGCTTTCAATTAATAGAATCTTTTAAACAAATGTCAACGTGTTACTGTATTAAAAAGCAAATTTTGATCACTACGACCGCATGTATTCGATGCAGCTACTGAATTACCAATTGATTCCTAGGCGAATTAAAGAAAGAAAAACATCAAGTAAAATAAAAAGCAACACAACATACCATGCTTTGGTGACTTTTTCCTTTGATGTGAATATCAACTGGTGTTGACTGGGCACAAGTACATATAGCTACTAATTGACCGTTCTCTACAATAATATTCTTTGAAAGACAACTTTGACACATGTAATGTCCACACCATAAGATAATTAAATTTATATTTGTACTCCAACATCGATTACACATTTGACTCATATTTGTATCGACGATCTACAAAATAAAACATTTCTAAAAGTAGAAAATCATTATTTGGTATATGAAAGTATATAAATGAAACCGTCTATTTCGAAGTAGTAAATATCTTAGACGATTCTCTACGAAGGAGAATGATTACTTGTTGAAACATTATGTGTGCACATGGCTATTTACATGTAAAATGACTGGCTGACTATCCTCGCGTTAAGGCTACTGTTTGTTTATTTACTTCCTTCCTGCCGTCTATCACTTTCTTACTTGGGACCTATTTATGCTTTTGACATAATCTTTATTGGATAGTTGAATGCAAAGGATAAACAATGGATTCGACGTTTTTTCTCTCTTTTGAATTGAAAAGCTATGTATCTCTTAGTTTTTCGAACGAAAATAATTAGTATCTATAACGAAGTAACTATTACTAGAAAAAAGAATAATGTAAATGAATTTGCTCCTTTTTTATTTGTATGATTAAGATATGATAAATTTTATTTCTAAAGACCACTTTGTCAACTTACAACGGAAGGTCGCTTACTGTACGTTAAGGAAATTGATCATATTTAGGTCCAATGAATGCTCTGACTATCAAACTAACTAATTTAAAATAAGAGTTATCTACAGCGTACACTGTAAAAAAAATAGGTGTTCTACCGAACTTTGAAGGTTTGGTACTATTTTACGAAACGATTTTAAGTTCCGTGGCATCAAAATAGCTTCGGAACTTTCATACAGAACATTTTTAAGTTCCGAAAGTTGGAAAGGGTTTTGAAGTTTTACTACGAAACCATCTAGAAGTTTCATTGAGTGTGAACCGAACTTTTGGTAGTTTCGTATTCTTCATACGAAGCCATTGGGAGCTCTGAACAGCATTTAAAAGTTCCATATAAGTTCTTCGAAACCATTCAAGGTCGCGTAAGCCCAGTAAAGGTTCTGGACACATTCTACGAAACTATTTTCGGCTCCGTCAAAGAAATACTGAACCTTTGTATCATTTATGAAGCAGTGAATAGTTTCGTACGATCTACGCTGAACTGTTTTATGTTTTACGAAACTAATGAGAGTTTCGTTTAACAAGGAAAGGTTCCGTGAATCTTATACGAATCTATGGAAAGTCTCGCGAAGCATCCAAACGTTCAGCATGCATTACACGAAACCATTTACACTTTCGTAAATGATATAATAGTTCAGTATACCCAGGTGAATCAATCCGACACCGAGTCCCATTGGATTCTATGGGGTCCTACCATCCGACGAAATCCCGTTGAATTCTTAGTTGAGAAATCAATGTCGGATCCGACAATCGTATTTCCAATGATATCCGATTGTCGGAACCAATGAAATCCGAAGCCTTCCGGTTCCGATTGACGGTTACTGTCGGATTTTATTAGTTTCCGATATTAGGATCCGATATCGATTCCGGAACCAGGAATCCGACGATAATCCGATAGTTTTCTTGCGCCTTCCGAAGAGCTCCGTCGGATTCCAATAGGAACCGATCGGAACTCATCGGATCCTAGCCTAGGATTCATTCTCCTGGGATATCTTTTGCAAAACCATGGCTAGTTTCGTGGAATATGTTCGGACCGATTAGAGCCTTTAAACAACTATGAATGGTTTCGTAGAGCTTATCCGGAACTTTTAGATACTCTATAACACTGGCAAAAGTTTCGTAGTATGTCTACTGAACCTTCAGACAACTGGACGAAACCGTTAATGGTTCCGCAAAAGATATTCAAAACCAATTTATGCCTTTCGAAGTAATTAATAGTTTCGTAAAGTGGATGCAAAACCTTTGCAACCCTTATAGAGACATGCATGGTTTCGTAACAAATATACGAAACCATCATTCGTATTATATAATTCGCATAAAGCATATATCTGGCTTTCGAAACTATCTATAGTTTGAAATATGTATAACAAACCTTAAAATT